ATACAAACTACACAACGCATGTGAAGGCTACAAACGTCGGGCTCGGGTTTTTCGTGCCATTCGACAAACAAGACAGAGCAAACAATGTTTTTCTTATCAGTTTAACCTGTATTTTTATATGTTATCTATGCAGATATTTTTAATTATTGTTCAATTTTGTTTAAAGTATATGGAATCAATGGCCAATGTCCGAATCAGTACCTGCTAAACATTCAATCCTCTGAACTATATACGATGTTTAATTACAGTTAACATACGTCATTGCTATGTTTCTATAGTCTTCTGTATATAAACATTTCTAGATTTCATAATTTACCATGTTTAAAAATTTCATTTTTTTAGCCCTTAACTTGTATATATGTTTCTATGTTTAATTCTTACTTCCCCAGCGGCGATGCCGATCGTTATTTTTACATATAACCAGTTTTGGATACTCAATATTGAAAAGTACAGTTTTAATAATATATCTGAGTTATCACTAGTTTTAGAATCATGGGACCAATATTGATTGCCCCATTATAGTGGAATGTTTTAAAATTCCCTTCCGTGGACTCTTAGTAGTTCAGTGAGTAAGACGCTGTCTCGCTTATCAGGAGAACTGAGCTTCGATACCAATGATGCCGAGAAGGCTTCACGGGATTTCAATCTTGGTTAGTGCTGCTGAACGGAGGTCCCAGCAGGGATAGTTTCTAATCGTTCGGGTGGGGCCGAATTTGTGAGAAAAAAAAACATTCATAGCACACTGTATGACGTATGCCTCTCTTCATTAACACGGTTAGGACAAAAATGGAGGACATTAAAACCCATTTCATTTCAAATTATAACGTACGAGTTAAATATTTCAAATTAGTCTAGTTCTATCTATTTCAAATTATGAAAGAATGCACAAGGATAAGTCCTATTTGTATGCAGAGAGAGAGAGAGAAATGGGGTTTAACGTCCTCTTGACACAAACTAGGTCATTTCGGGACTAACATATGGTTCAATTTTATTTCCATAATTTGCTTGCGCGTAGGGGTCTTTAGCATTTGGAGGAAACCGGAGGACCCTGAGAAAACCCACGTGGTTGGACAGGTGACCCTACTCCTTGTCACGTACAACCGGGGATCCGAAACCACACCAGTTGACTCAATGACAGACGTTATGATACAGCGCGCACCTGCTAACCATTCAGCCACCCCCCCCCCCCCCATTTGTATACAAGACGTACCCTTGTGTTCTGGGTTATAATATTTAGAGCACGTGCCACAGCATAGTTGGTTATTTTTATAACATCTACTTGGAGAAGTCATTCCAATAAGACACCAGGCACTTCTATCACCATATGCACAATCTAAAAAAAATATAATGAGAATAAAAAAAAAAATTCAAATCGTGTTAAATTGGGAACATTATAGGAAATCAAGTTTAATTAAACTTAGACTGGTTTTTTTTTCGTTTTGTTATATTTTATAACATTACGGTAGTATAGTGGCGACCAACAAAATATATAAACTGAAACGAAACATTTTTAAGATTTAATTTTAAGAATGACGATAAACATGTGTAATATGATTAAATCCTTGGTCGTGAAAGTTCGGGGGAAATACCTAAACAGACCCCGAAGTAAGTCTACTGTAAAAATTCCCGAGGAACTTTCCCGGCTTACTCTGGAATCGATTCCGGGACTTCCAGATTAGCGAGCCAGCGCCTTAATCACTTAGTCACAGCAACTTCCGCGATAGTTTGGACCTGATTTCAAAACTAGAGAGTCTGTATAGTATAATATCAATATTATCAACAAACTGACCTGGATTTGAAATGTTTTTATACTGACTACAGGTATCACAACACAGATGTTCGTTGTTATAACAACCCATCGGTACCTTTAATTTCTGCTTACACATTGGACTTCTATCACCATATGGACATACTGTTGATACAGACAATAAATTGAAAGACAGTTTACTAATGTACAGCGATATCAAAACAAAGTTCGTGTGTGATATGTTTTTAGTATGAAATGGGGTTCAATCTGCTCCGACTGGGCAAATGAAGACGTACATACGCCATACAGTGTGCTATGAGGGAAATTTTGCCCGGACAGCGGCGCTACGGCCTACTATTATATCGAATTCCAACTTTTACGTGCACGTCATTGTGTACACGTGACCTCGGTTTTTCGTCCCATCCAATCGACTAGACAGCTGTCCTTCACAGGCCCTCCGTCCTGTACTACTGACAGGGGGAACCACGCCGGAAGAATGTTCTAGGCCAACACCGGGATCGAACACGGCGTCTTACTCACTGAGCCACTGTGGTTCCGTTTTCAGTATGACTTTTGTCTAGGTAATCCAGGGTAGAGACGTATTCGACGGAACGAAAGGGAGCAAATGGGGTTTAGCTTTTTCCAAACACAGCCAGGTCATTTCGTAACTAGCTATTGTAATTCCGTCAATAACGCCTCTTCGGCTTTTAGCAGATTTATGAAAACAGGCAAACGTGAGAAACCCTGACAGAGCTGGAGTCACTACATAGCTGAGATCCGTTCCTATCGTTTTAGTCCATTAGCCCATTTGGCTTTGTTTTACCACATGACAACGGCGAGAAGAATAGTTGCTCGGTTATTATATGCAAGTAAAACAGTATGACCCATGTTGATTTTAATTTAGCAACATTATATGAATTCGTGGTAGAAATGGCATAGGTAAGATTATGAATGGCATAAATGATCGAGCGTTCAGAATAGTTTCCGGTTTAGACAGAGGTAAAACATATGAATGATCGAGAAATTCTCCCATTAATGGTTATCTAATGAATTTGACTTGATATACCTGTTGCTGTTGTGTATTATAAATTTAACATGATATTATAGACAAGTTGATATACCTGGATTAGAGAGGTTTTTATAATGGCTACACGTTTCACAACATGACTCTTCATTCTGATAACAGCCAATAGGTGGAGTTAATGTCGTGTTACACCATGTCTGACGGTCACCATACAGACAGTCTGAATAAAAAACCTGGATAATTTCAGATTTGCAGAATAGACTTGATCGGAATAAAGATAACAAAAACAACACATACACGTTTCGAATGATGTTCAATATTTGAGACACTGGCAGCTAACAGTTTCTGTCACCATTAGTTTTGACCGTATAAGAGATAAATCATATCATTTATTTTCTTATTTTCTAATTCATTTTTTTTACCTGGTTTGTCAATCTGTTTTAACGGTCCACAAGTAGCACAACAAAGTATATCATTATTATAACATCCTATTGGTAAACTTATATCAGTTTTACACCATGAACTCCGATCTCCATAGGGGCATTCTACAATACAATAATATTAATAACAAAGTATAATGTAATTGAACAATTTAATAACGTCACGGCAACAATATTATATCAATTTGTTATACTGAAAGAAACATTTTAAAAGTAAAACTAACGTTGATCTCCAGAATGGATACCACGACACGAACCACAGCACTTCCGCTGTACCACCTGATCATAACAATGTTCTGGACTGTGTTTCACAAAATCAGAACAAGTCATATTCTTCCAGATAATACCCTTTTCGTCACCTTGGGGACAGTGATCTGAAATTTCAAAATGAAATATTTCAAGTCGATTTAATTCCAAGACTACTACAAATGTATGTTAGCTATGTGAATTACTGTAATGACAAGTGACATTGGTTGTTTCAGAAAGGGTACCATACCCTACCATTTTCGCATTACTGAGGGGAGCCACGGTGGCTAAGTGGGTAAGACGCTGGCTTGCTAGTCTGGAGGTCGCAGGTTTGCTCCCAATGTTGGCCGAGAAAGTTCATCGGGATTTTACTGCGTGGATTCTTCTTGTCAGTGGCGCATGGCGGAGGGCCTGACAAGCACAGCTGTCTAGTCGTTCGTATAGGACGAAACGAAAAACCGAGGTCCCGTGTACACATTGGCGTGCACGTAAAAGAACCCTTGGCAGTTGGATTGCGATTTAAGAGTAGGCCGTACCGCCGCTGTCCGGGCAAAATTTCCCTCATAGCACGCTGTATGGCGTATGCCCGTCTTCATTAGCCCAATTGGGGCAAAACAGTAGGACGTTGAACTCCATTTCATTTCATTTCATTACAGTTTGCATTACTGAGTTCATGTTGGTATCTCCAAGGTTCGGCATTAGTTCATTGTGTATTATTCGTATCTTCAAATGACATTTTGTTACTTTCATTTTGACATTTAGTAGATCAATTGGAATATTTTAATGGAATTGCAAAAGAATCATATTCCCACAATCGGAAAATCTGTGGAAATCATCTTACCTAAAACAGTAGGTGCGCTGTCATCTCTCACACATTTTCCTTTTATACAAATCTAAAATGGAATACATGGACTTACTTTATGGTACTTTTTTATTCCAATACTTCATGACCATGTGATCTGAAGCGAATGTTTTAGATTTTAAAAAAATGTTCAGAAAGCGTCAGTAATTACTGAATACATGTAATTTATCTGCTTGGTTTTATTCCAGACACTGCAAACCTTAACCAAATTTCAAAACTGTTACAAAATACAAACATATGAGTGTGTGATAAATGTCTATGTGATCGAGCATGTATAATAAAAATAATATACACTGACTCTATTTAACACCACAAACTTGTGTTGAAGAAACACAAACACCACAAACATGTGTTAAATGTTGAAACAATACAAACTTGTGTTGAAATTTATCAAACAACACAAACTTGTATGAAAATCTACACACCACTTGTGTTGAAATTTCTGAAATTTATCAAACAGCACAAACTTGTGTGAAAATCTATACATCACTTGTGTTAAAATTTCTGAAACTTGTGTTGAAATTTCTGAAACTTGTGTTGAAATTTCTGAAATTTGTGTTGTTTCATACAAACTTGACAATGTGTATAAGCACAAACAAAAACTTGTGTTTTTTTACCAATTTTACCAATTTATATCCAGTATAGCAGCCTTTTCTATCCAGCCCCCTCCGTTTGTTCTGTTTAAACTGTAATGTTTGATAAATTACTGTGAGGACTACGTGTAAGACAAAGAATCACCAACACTGCGAGGAATTGAGTACTTGAGTTGTAAATGATATAGCTAACCTTTTGATTTCCACATACAAATCCATCCGAACCTAAAAACGTATTGCATGTCTGTTTATTCAGTTTTAGTGACGTCACATTACGGCACCACATGTTCTTACATAAGGAGGGATAATCATTTCCCCCATAAAAAGACTGAAACAAAAGACAAGATATTTTCATAGTTGACCAGTCAATATATTGGTTAAAATTTTATTTTATTATTTTTTCATATATTAACCTGAAGGATTAGACGCGGTTATTGTTTCGGGGTGTTCGTCGAAGCAGCTGTAAAGTCATATGTACCACCCTTAAGTTGAATACCGTGTTTAAAAATTGGCTAATATGGGTAAATTTAAACATACAGTCGCTCATCAAAGTTGAAAACAGTATAGTCTATAGTAATGGGGCAAATGCAGTTTTACTGGATCGGAATTGATAGCTTGCATGCATTTAGTGGGGCCTTGGAAATGCGGACCTGTAACAAAATATGTTACTTTTTTTTAAATCTGGCACTGGTCGTGCATGATCTTTGCCATTCCTTATAACCAACATCCCAATTCATCGCCCCGTTTAGCTAGAAATAATATACCCGTACACTTATTCTAAAGTTCGTATAGCTAGCAACTTTTGTTGTACTTTTGTATGGGGTAGATGATATTATAAAGGCGGAACAATAATTACTCAAATCTAATTACAATTTGATTACAAATTCGTTTCGTTTTTTTCCTACTAATATGAATGTAGTGAGGCATCAGACATCAAACGATACGAAAGATCAAATTTTAGTACGATTGAACAGCACCAACATTTCTCCTAAATATTACAACATTACTCTGTCAGCTCAGAAATATAACAATGTAAACTTCAACAGATAATATGTCCCAAGATCTACATAGAACAAAAATTTACAATGCTCCAGATTTAACTAGCATACCCTACAGATTTAACTAGCATACCCTACAGATTTAACTAGCATACCCTACAGAAAATGGAACCTGGACCCTCAATTAATAAACACTGTTCGTCTGGAGTCAACAATTCTCCTAACTGTACGTTAGCCTCTGTTGGTATTGGTAAGTGACCAAAATTATTTTTTCGGTACAAACAGTTTTTTCCTTTGCTGCAATAGATAAACATTAGCATACGTTTGTAGAATTAGCAGTACAATGTAGAGTTATTTTCAGGGTGAGCTGTGATTGAAACAGTTTCATAGAAAATAACTTTTGCACATCGATTCAAGTCTGTAGTGAATTTGTGAATTGAATATATGTATTAGATGGCATGCAAGGGTCCGAGTATCACGGTTGTATGTGTATTGACCGGACGGATTAAGGAATTGCGGGATTTTCAGCCAACAGTAACAGGGATCGGTCACCTCTGGCATTCGGTCGTGGTCTTAATCACTGGTGTATTTGACTTTGCGATACGTCTTAACCTCGTGGGCATTCTGCACACAGAGATCCATCTACTTCATACTTCGAGAATAAATCTCTGTCCTAAATGGTCGCCATATCCAAAACTTAATATATTGTTTTGTAATGTGGTTCTACTCCGTTTCACATCTGACATACATATAGAGACTAAATAAACCTATTTAATTCAATTAAATGGAAGAAGAATAAATACTTCTCACTATTCTTGAAGTATACTTAGTGTTTTCGACCAAAATCGTCGATTTTAGGACTTAAAAGGCCGGTCAGCTAGCTTAGTGTCTGTTCTCAAGTGGAGTTAACTGTCGACACGCAGCCTAGTTTAGTATGCCTCGTGGGTTTACTATCATTAGTATGTCTAAGGGTTTACTCCGGGTACCCCGGTTTCTTCAAACAGAAAAGACCGCAACGGACGTTAAACCCTCCGAACAAGAACAAGAACCACGCGGTACAGAAAAAAACAGACGACCCACGAATAATGACTCGATAAGGGTGGGATGTAAAAAAATAGATGGGGGCTTGTCAGACCATTAATAGCCCACTAGCAGTAAAGTTGTCCGTGCTAGGTTTAAAATCAATGGCTATTAATCCCGCTCGGCAATCCAATATGGGCTTATACCACAATCTATAAAGACTATGCTATAACATAAATATCATATTACCATACCTTGTTTCAACTTGCAACTTTCGATTTTTAATTCGTAATGGTGAATACTTATATTGAAATTCAAAAGAAAACACCAAATCCTCCAGTCAGATTCTTTGGGCATGTCAAAAAATTACTTTCATAAACCAAATATTTATGAATTTCTCTATAATGCGATTTTAACTATTTATTATAACATTTATATCGTTCGTTTTTGTATGTTCTTAACAATTGTACTATTATAACTCTCCATTGCAATGTGTGTGGAGAGGGTGCAGGTAAGTTTTCGTAACTTTTGTCCCAATCTGTACTGTATTTATGTTCTAGTACAATAAACTATGTTTAAGCCAAACTTTACCTTGTTAATTTCATTAAAGAATCACGTATATATCTAATAGAACAGGGTGAGAAATACCAGCGATTAGATGAGTTAGTTTCTACTATTGGTGACATTAAATAACCATCTATTTGTAAACATCGGTTACCTTTACCATCATGTTCACTTCCTATACTGTAAATACAAAACAATCAGTTTCCAGTTTAACTTATGCTTATTCTTCCATACAAAATTATAAAACAATTTTTGGGAACATCTAAAATGATGGGAAGCGGTATCAAATGTTCTAAAATAAATATACAAGTACACTGACTATCTATGTAAAACAAAGATTAAATGGAGGGGGGGTTTTTTTTGGGGGGGGGGTAACTGGATGAAAGTTTGGGGGAATACAACTGTTATAGGGCCATACTGATATCGAAATCAAAATAGCTGAAAATGATTAGGGCATGTTCGCTTAAATTTTGTACGGTCGGTACGCTTCAGTATGCTTTGCAGATTTATAATACATCTGTTAGCCTACCTATGACCTAGTTCATGGCTAGCCACACCCACATCTTCAAAATTAAACTGATTCTCTACAACAGATACTGATGATATACTGCATATTTTACCAAGAAAGGCAAGACCTAAAATAGAAATGTAAGGATAAAAAAAATTACATCATTCAGTTTAGTTCATAAAGATGATAACAATTCCTTAGCATTATAATTCTAAAAAAAAATCTACCTGTTGTTAAATAGTCGTCCGTCTCATTCGGATATTGAAGATCAAATCTGTTAATAAATAAAGAAGCAGTTAAAGATATATTATGTGAGATTAGATAAAGAGCTGGTAGTTCACACTTTAATAGTTAAAAACTAGATAATGTAAAGGGAATTTGTTGAAACTTTCTGTCAAATTGATCCACCCTGAACCGAGTATTTAGCGATTGAATTTCGGACCTAGCCTCGATCATCATTACTAAAGTCGGTACGATAAAAAAACACAGCCCCGATTATCCAGTTTTTGATTTAATCAGAAGCAGCAGACCGGGTTATAATCCAGTAAATATCACAGGCTAGCGATGCCATCGAGAGTTGCTTATGGGCTTGATAAGTTAATTAATGTCTAATTAATAATTTAGATAAGATTTCAGGCCTAAATGAAGAAATGTCATTGACAGATTTAGCTCTTGCATAATGTATGTTTAAGATAATCGCCATCCATACTTCATTCAACATTCATTGCCTCTTGATTATGACATGGATAAGTGTTTTCTATAAATAAATGCCTAAACATGTGAACAAGTATCATAGGATATGTATCTATATAAAGTGGATTGATGCGAGAAAAATAAAATCGTTTACGAGCATCTGAATCTAAGGTATGGTTTAGAAGAACTATATTTAAGATCTTCGAAACTATGATCACAACCATACACAGGGATGTCCGGATGCGTATAAAACATTTTTGTCCATTTACAGACTCGGGGTCGCAAATTCTATGCTTACCCGGTAAGCAGCATGGTATGGTCATTTCTTGGCAATGATTTCCGATGGTCTATAACCCATGTACCAAAAGCGTCTAAAGCTTGGTGTGCTTTTACTATACGCCTCGGGAAACCATTCTCCGATAATCTGTACAACCATTCGCCGTCTTCTAGTGTCTGAAATGTAATAATGAATGAAATGCAAGGCCATTGCACGCAAAACATTTTGTTGTGTACGAATAACCTATCTAGCACTTTGAACAGTATGGTCGGTTGACTAACCAGAAGGTCAGGGGACGGGTGTTGGCGGAGAACAGGTCCTCGAGATTTACCAGCGTGGTGTCATATTGTCAATGATGCAGGATGGGGGGCCTGGCAAGGAACGGCGTCTTGTTGTTCGGATGGGACAAAAACCCGAGGTCTTGTGTACATGTTGGTGTGCACGTAAAAGAACTCCTGACAGTTGAGAGAGAGAGGGAGAGAGAGAGAGAAATGATGTTTAACGTCCACTCGACACAAACTAGGTCATTTCGGGACTAACATATGGTTTAATTTTATTTCTATAATTCGCTTGCGCATAGGGGTCTTTAGCAGTGGGAGGAAACCGGAGGACCCGGAGAAAACCCACGAGGTTGGACAGGCGACCCTACTCCTAGTCACGTACAACCGGGGATTCGAAACCACGCCAGTCGACTCAATTACAGACTTTATGATACAGCGCGCAGGGTAACCATTCAGCCCCCCCCCCCCCCCCCCTGACAGTTGGAATGCAATTTCTGTACAGGCAAAATATCCCTTATAGCCCACTGTATAGCGTATGCCCGCCTTCATTAATCCAGATGGTGCAGAAGAGTAGGACGTTAAACCCTATTTGATTCATTTATTCATAGTATAATCTAAAACATACCTGTATGAAATGTATGTCGACTAATGAAACGTTTATCTTTATTCCATGTGGTTCCAATGTTTTATAGATGCTATTCATCTGAAGAAAAAAAAACTTTATGTAGTTTATAATGAAAGCTCAAACGGTTAAAGATGCATTATGTAAGATATAAACCTGCCTATTGTAGGTCTTTGTTTTGTCTTCAAATGTTATATAAACTATTATTTAGACATTTGATTACATGAAAAGTCTATAATTCAATCGATAGATCATCGTATGGTCGAGAGTTAAATAGATTGAAACACCCCCGGGATTTAAAAATCTATATTAAAGATAAATCCGCTTAGCCTCGATTATCAAGTACCGTTGCTACGATAATAAACAATCTACGCTACATCTTCGTTCAAAATAAAGTAATTTGAATTTAAATTTTGAATATATTCATTTTTCATTATCTATTTTTGAACTATAATAACAAGAACGACTAACTCTTTATCTAAATCTTACATAATGCATCTTTAAGGTCAAACATGACTACTTTTATACTAAAACACCCCATTAAGTTCTGACTATTGATTTCTAATGATTTCACACCCAGCCATCTTTGGGTTATAGATAAACAAAGTAATAATGATAATTCGGCTAGCTGTTTCTTACAAGTCAGCTTAATGTGACTTAGTAACATTAAAATAGCAACAGTCTTCACGCTGAACTAAAACATGTTTTTGGACTTTTCAGCTGATTTCTACAGAAATAATAACATTTGGGTCGCCATTCGCTCATCATAGGCCTATGTATCTAATTTTAAGATGAAAATATAAAACAATAATGAATGCAACACATTACCCCATAAAGAACAGATGTGACGTATTTGGTTATAGCTTGTTGTGTTCTCATCTGTCTTCCAACACCATGATCACCACCTTCTCTTTGATACCATCTAAATATTAATAAATATCGTGAGAAACAATGTTTGATTGACATGTTAAGTTGAAACAGATAGGCTACATATTAATACCTTACTTTTCTGCACCCACTGAGTTAATGAAGATGGACATACCACATGCAGTGTGCTATGCGGAAATATGAGCTAAATCGCTAATATTTTGGACCTAGAAATTGGCACAAATGGGTCGCAACACATATAATAACGTAATATGAATTTATATAAACTGTTTTACATTCAATCGTGTCCGTTTTACTGTGAATTGTCATCAGTTATGTTCGGCGAAATACACCAGAAGTCTCAACCGCAAGTCAGTTTCTATAGCGTCTGGTTATTCCAGTCAACACCGATATTATTTATTGCGCATGCTCTCCAAATAAGAACATGATATCACCGTTTGACATGACATGTGGAATATGTCTAGCCTCATTCTTTGAGCACCTTGTTACAAATGGCGCTGAAACGCATTATGTTACACGATTCGTGTACCAATGGTAAAATGTTTATTTTGTCTTAAATATTGGATATCAGAAGCCCATCGTTTCCAGGTAAGATCACAAAACCAATGCTGATTTAAATTGCCAAAAAATCGTGTTTTCAATGTCCAAGATTTTGGATGATATTGAGTTACGGACTTAGCTACTTTAACCTGACAGGGGATCGGATCTTTAACGTGTTATCACGAACCTCGGTTTCTCGTCCCAACAACTAATCGCCAGCCCATTCGTTTTGAACCCCTGAAAAATGTAAACCAGGTTGGAATACCTTTCTCCGCCAACACCGGAATCGAATCTGGGTCATCTGGTTAGTAGGCTAGTGCCTTTATTCGCTGAGCCACCGTGGCACCCGCGATGACCATTACACACGAGATGTATACATAATAACAATGCGATTCGTGGTAGGCTGGTACTTTCGTTGAATATGTAAAATAAAGGTGTTGAGAGAAGGCTACCGTAAACAATTTTGAATATTTGAAGGTTTCAAAATTGTTGAACAATTTGTAGATTACAGTACTTTGTAGATGAGGCATATATCTAAGTAAGGTATAGTATCAATCGATTGATTATTGTATTAAAAATATATAACATTTCTACTCACGTTTTATATGCTTGGTAATCTATGATAATTAAAAGTTCTATTTCATTCATCCGACGCCTGTCGTAGACTGTAAGATAAAAACAAACAGTTCAAACTCCACCTTGTCTAAATTACAGATTTAACATCAAGTATACGCTATGCGTGCGGCTTAGTTTTGTCTTATAAGACACATTAAATAATATTAAAAGTTTATTTCAACAGTGGAAAATGAACAAAAGTAAATATTGGATATTGGTTAATTTCTTTAATTGATTATCGGTCCAACAGATAAACTCGATATAACTTTGGCAATGAATTTCCCAAAATACGTTTCAGACGAGTTATTTGCCCCTGAATTTGAATTTGATAATCTCGATTGCGCGAATATGAACGTTATATATATAAGCTTAGACATTATAGTTAGCTTCAGCTTTGTTGCGGACTATCTTGGGTCGGTAAACGGCCAGCCAACAATAATGACATAAATCACAATTCAATTGTATGTCTCGCGTTTCCATCAAATCAGTTTCATTGCATCTCAGAAAATGATTATAATTTCCTAGATAGTCAATTTAATTCTATATGTAGGAACTACGGGTGGCATGATTTCAAATATTTTGCGTCTTACCGGTCGGCGCCAACCAAATAATTCAATATGTCCTTTGTCCATAAATCCGCGCTTGACTTTGCTTAATGCCAAACTTCAACTGAATATAAAGAGTATGTATTTGATTTTACTAGGGCTTTGAATTTGTTACCTTAAATAGACTAAACAAGGCCTTTGGAACCGGTTTGGGTCGTGTTTTAAACATTAAGATATTTAAGCAAAGTACCTCGGCTTTCTTTTCTTGCTGGTTGGTTGTTCAGTTCATAATCCAACTCTGCTTCTATCTTACCCTCTATTCTAGACATTCTATTCACCAGTTGTGATTGTTTTCTTCGAGCTGACATTAATTCAGATTGCAGACTGCGCAAATCTTTCACCATATTTAAAAGTTGTGTCGGCGAAAATTCAAAATTTAAGTGCGTGGGACCACGCTCGCTCGCACAACAGTTTTGGATCGCGATAGACATATTATTCCATTGTTTGTTATAAAAGGTCATATTTGTAAGAATTTCCTCACGATTCGCTTGACATTCATTCAAAGCTAACTCAAGTTTTTTTTGTTCTTTATCTAGCTTATTTATTCGATATCGCGCTAAATCACGATCTTCCAAAAGCGCCGCGATGTCAAGTTCGAAATAATGTCTGTCCTCTTGTAAAACTGATACATCACTTTTCAGTTTTTCGATAATTTTCATCAATTCCGTCATTTCTGTGGAACCAAATGTCAAATCGTTCGTTGAGGATAATCCAATTTTCAGAATTACAATCCATATCAAGGAAAATATACATCTTGTGATTTTACCCATTATAAAGCCGACATTTTCCAAATAAATTACGTCGTATGTCTCCCCGGCTTATATATATGTCAAATTAATTGTTAAGCAGTTAGGTTTTGCGTTACAATAATTAATTTGAAAAGGTCACATGACAGATAAGATCGCCTTCCAATCATGAGTATGTACTGGGGTCCAAGAGGTAACAGCTCTCCAAAATTGACTTAATCACATTACCGGCTATTAATATCTCCATCAAATTCAGCCATCTCCGAACTAAAGTCCCCTTTTCCGAGAGAGAGAGAGAGAGATAGAGAGAGAGAGAGAGAGAGAGAGAGAGAAGAGGGACACTTACATAATCTAAAATTAATGCTAATCATATCCAAGTTCCATCAGCCAATTTTCCCCTTTCTGATTACTTGGAGATGTAAACATTGTCTTTCCTATCTAGGAAATACTCCATATAGTGTAATTCACCAGGAATTTTTGAAAACTGTTTGGGACACCCCACCAGGTCCGGATTAAGCTTGCAATGCATAGGGCCCCATGGCTGAAAATGACAGTGCCACCGAAGCGCATGTATCAACAGTAAAATGGGGTATGTTCTCTTCATTGTCACACAAATGCAATCTGTATGTAAGTATGGTAGATAAATAAAATCATAAAATTACACATAAATTTAGTTTATAACTAATTTGGGAGTCCTATTTAATTGTTGGACCCCTGGCTTTGTCCCCCGCCATTGGATAATCAAACTGCCGCCACTGGTGTGTAGTATACGAGTAAAAGCATGGAATGTGTGTCTAAAAATTAGGACACAACTCCACTTAGTTCAGGCAAACTGATATTCGCATAGACTTTTCTGGCGGTTCTGAAAGAGAGAGAGAGAGAGAGAGAGAGAAATGGGGTTTAACGTCCACTCGACACAAACTAGGTCATTTTGGGACTAACACATGGTTCAATTCTATTTCAATAATTCGCTTGCGTGTAGGGTTCTTTACTAGTGGAGGAAACCGAAGGACCCGGAGAAAACCCACGAGGTTGGACAGGCGACCCTACTCCTTGTCACGTACAACCGGGGAATCGAAACTCCGCCAGTTGACTCAATGACAGACCGCGTGATACAGCGCAGCGCGCACGTGCTAACCATTCGGCCATCCAACCCCCTCATTACCAAATAGTTTTCTCTGTAAATTGGCGAAATTCTATGGGTTTTTTGGGGGAGAGGCATCGTTATTATTGTTTCATCCCCATACGGTTTTTATTTTTGATGATTATAACATGATCTAGAAGAAATAGCGGACATATTATTATTCTTTATAGCGAGCCAAATGGTGCAATGTATTTCTTTCGCGCTCAAAGTGAAATTATAAGTGCGATTTTATGTTCCGTGCTGGGAAAATGACACCGGTGTGGTTTTCTTTCACCGCTAGTGACATAACATGTTAGGTGATCTTTCACTGCTAGTGACATAACATGTTAGGTTACCTTTCACTGCTAGTGACATAATAGGTGTGGTGATTTGTCGCTGCTTTTGAAATAATAGGTTTTGTGTTCTTTCAATGCTAGTGACATAATATGTGTGGTGTCCTTTCAGTGCTAGTGACATAATAGGTGTGGTGTTCTTTCACTGCTAGTAATATGTGTGGCATTCTTTCGGTGCTAGTGACATAATAAGTGTGGCGTGCTTTCACTGCTAGTGACATAATAGGTGTGATGTTCTTTCACCACTAGTGATATAATAGGTGAGGTATACTTTCAGTGGTATAGTGAAAACGGACGACACATTAGTTGGCCTTCCATTTATTTCAAATTATATCGACTTCTTCTTACCATGAAGAAGCCACTGGCAACAATATGAGCTTGCGGCTACTGCAAATCCGAGGATCCAAACAACTACCACCAGGTTTAGCTGGCGAGCATAATGCAAGCCAATTATTCCAGATACTCTCTGCTGGAGGACATACCCAAAAGTTATCATCTACTCGGCAGTTTAGGCTTCTAATTCGCAGAAGTAACTGCTGCTCAGTAACATGTCATGTGCATGACAGGGCATTCTTACTCTTGAACGTTCAATATCGCTCCATATTTATAACACAAGTTCATATGGCTAACAACTATTTATGGTATTTGTGTAATTGAACAATTGGGCTGGTATACTTTGTCCAAAGGTTACAGTTTATCTTGTGACTGGGACTTTTAAGAACCAAGTTCAACCGATGATTTAAAGGTAGGGTAGGGTATGATTTAAAAAAATAATGGTTTATGTTTAAAATTTATCCAAACTTATCCTCAATTCCCTTTAATAATAATGGAAATATATAGTTTAACAAGGATATATTTCCCTTTATTCACTTCACGTTTGTTAATATATTACATTCTGATTATCTTTTCGCAAACATAATTTATCATAAAAACAATAATCATCCAGTATAAACAAACTTACCGTTGTTATTCTAACAATACTACCATTTATATATTTCAAAACCTAATAAGAACAGAGCATTTATCAGGGAGCTCCATAATCACAAGCATCTCTACCTATAATATTTATTTGTAAAAACACAAAACAAAGATAGTTTTAAAGAAATATATATCTTTGTGATTAAATTATGGACATGTGGTTATCAAGTTGTAAAAACAAGCTCTTTAGAGATTAACTACATGTACAGTCCCAGAGTTCCAGTCTAAAATCTCTTGCTCAGAGAAATTTCACCCTTATTCTTACAAGAAAATAACAGCACCAATATTCTGATAGTGTTACCATAGTGACTAGCAATTATAGATTAGGTTTTACAGGAAGAAAACTAATTTTTCCAAGCTATCCTCTAGATTCTAAAATGAATTCATAAAAAAGAGGTTTCAATAATTTATAACGGCACGCTATGTGAAAATGATGAAACAGGGAGTTGCTGCCCTTATTATTGACACACTGATAAAAGACTGAAACACTGAGAGAACAGACACACAACCGTAACTCAGAGCATAGTAATTGTTAAATAAAGAGGCCTCCAGTCTGACTTTTCACTTGCATACACATTTGGATATTTTTATGAAGAACATTTACTGTTTCAGACAAGATTAACCAACATTGTTCAAGATGTAATGGTTAGTAATTGATTTTCTGTTACAATATTCTTTTCACATTTTGTTAAATTGATTTCAAATTTCATTAAATACAAAGTATATTAATTGTAACAATGATTCAGAAATATGCACTGTAACGCAATTATTCCAAGAAGTCAAAAATCTGGGGGTTCTGGGGGCACAAGGTTTCATTACTTTGATCCTGCAAACATTTATCCTTCAATTTCATTCAGTTAATCTCATTATCACTATACAACTCAACGTTCCTTCTCTTCATTTTCACCTTTTTCAGAGACGGACTGTCGTCAGAATCGGAAGCCCGTTTTTCTGCTTTGATTGAAGTAGCACTGTCTTCTGCGGACGATTCGGCACTAGAGTTGTCCACCCCTGGTGACATAACTTCAATATCTGTGGTGGTACCTTCTGTTTCTGAAGCCTGGGGGCTATGAGCAGTAAATTCTAGTGAAACTTCGAATTGTTGACAGTCTAGAAGTTTTGGATGTTTACCATGGGATGGAGTTGATGTTGTCTGTTTGGTAGCTGCTCCTGAAGATAGAAGGTCATCATCGTCATCAGAAACTTTATCGCTGTTTGCTGCCTCATCTAAAAGTTTCTCTGCTTTTTGTAAATCCATTATTGCTTTCAATTCATCATCTTCTTCAATAGATATTTCTGTAGTATTAACAGAGCTAAACGACATGTCACTGGCAGACGTATCCAATGAAAGATCAGTGTTATTGACAGAAAAAGACTCATAAGTTGTATTTATCGTTGAATTTACATCACTGTTGCCACCATCATCTGCATCATCGTCATCATCATCATCATCAACAACATCATCATCATTAACATCAATCTCATCAGGGTTATTTGTTTGTGGAGGACTTAGAATATTTTCAACATGACTTGAATCTTTTCCTAAGAACACAGCATTAGGGTCTGTAATGTCCAGCATGGTACATAACAGAGTAGTTTGAGGGTTGATAATAATTCGCGGCTGCAGGTTAGTTCTTGAGGAACCATTTTGTTCATGAACTGGTGCCGTTTCTTCAAATGTATCAGGAATTGTTAAATCTCCACCAAAATCCTCCTTAATAGAATTAATATCTTCATCTGTCACTCGGAAATCCCACCTTGAAAAAATGTAATTCTAATTTTTTATTGGAATCTACAAAATTCAAAATGACGCTCTCACAATGCCACTTGCAAACTACGTTATTGTGAAAGTTGAATGTCTAAAAGGAATATTAGTCTAAAAATGGGTTCATATAGTCTCTATCATCCAGAAAAATATTCTACGACTATAAGTCTGGATGTGTTGTCAACAATTGAGAATAATAGGTCATTGGCTAGATTATCCGATCTTTTACATTATCATAAACAAAGTCTAAGGGAGGTAACTAGTCTTAAAATAGGATGTTGACGCCCATGGAATTAATTTAAGAATGCTATTTCAAAAAATCGATTTGATTGCATTGCCAGTTCAATATCCAACACTCTTAATTTTTTTTATTGTAAAAATTCTCTCTTCACTGGTCATATCTATGTTTTTTTAAATTAATCCTAATTCGTCGTCACGATTCACGTTTGTATCATGGAGGTGTATATATATTGACATACATCTCTATGGTTTGTTTATATTAATGCAAGAATTATGGGATTTACTGAGGAAAGGGGCACAACTCTTACTTGACTTGGCCAAAGATACAGGATAATCAACCACATTAAAAACCAAACTCCCGGTTACGTATGGGCAATGGACTTTTCCTCAAATAGTGATGCAGGACAGAGGGCCTGACAAGGACAGCTGTCTAATCGTTCGGCTGGGACGAAAAACCAAGGTCATGTGTACACATTGGCGTGCACATAATAAATCCCTTGACAGTTGGAATTCGATATAAGAGTAGGCCATAGTGCCGCTGTCCGGTCAAAATTTTCCTCATAGCACACTGTATGGCGCATGCCCGTCTTCATTAGCCCAGTTCGGAGCAGTACAGTAGGACGTTAAACACTATTTCATTTTATTTCATTTTAAGATTATTTACCATTGATTGTTAATTAAATGATAGATGATCAATTTTAGTACAAGTCATAAAAATATCACGATCAGCCGACTCACGCTCTGTTGCAGGTAATTTAACAACTTCTGTAATTTTATGCAAATGAGTCTAAATTTATGCATATTTCTATTTGAATATTATATTTTTGTACAAAATATAGTGTATTAACCATGCAATGTTTTTTGAAAACAAAAATTGTAAAGCTTTTAAGCCAAAATGGTTGAAAAAAACCTATATTTAATTGAAAATGAAATAGTTTATGATGCAGGATGAGTAAAATTTTATCAATAGGCCACTCCACTCTATCTTGAACAATTCCCTTTAAATACAGTAAGTAATAAATTATTGTAACTAGTAGCCTATTGGGATAAAATTGACAGATACAATTGACTACATTACGCTCAGTTATAAACAGGTCTTTTGGTTTTCTATAATAATGAACAAAGGAATTTTTCTCACGGTAGCTATTTATGTTCAAATTTCTGCTTTATTAAAGATACATTGTAGGAAATTAGATAAAGAGCTGGCAGTTCTCACTTTAATAGTTAAAAACTAGATAATGGAAAGGGAATTTGCTGAAAATTTCAGTCAAATTGATCAACTCTGAACCGAGAATTAGCGATTGAAGAATTTTCGGCCTAGCCTCGATCATCATTACGAAAAAAACATAGTCTTGATTATCCATTTCATGATTTAATTATAAATGAAAGTTGGGCAGCAATTCAGATCCTAATCCAGTAAATATCGCAGGCTAGCGATGACATTGAGAGTTGATTATGGTCTGGATAAGTTAATTAATGTCTAATTAATAGTTTATATAACATTTAAGGCCTAAAGAAAGACCTGCATAATGTATGTTTAATTAATAATCTATTGATTGTTTAAACTCCCCCCTCCCCCCAAATACTTTATCTTATTTCCATTTCAGGTGGTCGGGCACTTTATTACCCCACCTTTGCTTTCTGTTCTGTCATTTGTTCAGCTTAGAAGTTATTTTGGAAAATCATATATACTATTCAAAAAAAGTAGGGGATATTTGATTTTGGGGGCATAATACTAAAATATGCAAATGACTACGAAAAAAGTCACTATAGAACCTAACAGAAGAAACATTTCCAGTTACATGTGATGCCCAAACGCACCAATAGCTACCGCATGGAATGCAGGTAATGCTTGGGATCATCATGGGGGTCCAACCCAAGATTTGCACGACTCTGACTTTGAATGTTACAGTCATTGTGGCATTGAATTCCAGGGTGGAAACATCAGTTTAATTGTTTTAGTGACCAGAAAACAAATTTTGATATGCGTCGGCTTACCCAAAATGAAAGGTTACGTGCCCTTGGCATGCTACAGATCAGCACAACACAGGCGGTTGTGGCGCGGACGATGAATGTTTCTCAGTCTGTCATAAGCAGGCTATGGTCCAGATACCGTGATACACAATCTGTACAGGACAGACCACGCTCAGGTCGACCAAGGGCGACAACTCAAGCCCAGGATCGATTTATCCGTACCTTGGCCTTGAGAAATCGTGTCATCACAGCAAATCAGATCAGCGCTCGTCTTCAAACAGACACTGGTGTGAGAGTGAGTGGCCAGACGATTCGGAATCGACTGCATAGGGGTCACCTTCGCGCCCGACGTCCTCGCGTGATCCCTTGTTTGAGAGATCATCACATTCAGGCAAGACGTCGTTGGTGTAGGGATCGTCAACACTGGGATAATTGACGCTGGAGCAATGTGATGTTTTCAGATGAGTCAAGGTTCACTGTTGATTTTTTGGACAGACGTAGGAGGGTGTGGCGTCGTCGAAACGAGCGCTTCCAAGACGTTAACGTCATCAGACATGATCGATTTGGGGGTGGTTCTGTTATGGTGTGGGGAGGCATCACTGTTGCTGGAAGAACGGCTTTACATGTTGTTGCAGGGCGTGTTACAGGCCAGTACTACCGGGACAACATCTTGGCAGTCCATGTTATGCCGTTCGCACGACGTCATGGCCGCCATTTCATCTTCCAGGATGACAACACAAGATGTCACAGGGCCAGGATCGTTACAGGTTACCTCCAACAACAGAACATCACCACATTACCTTGGCCAGCACTGAGTCCCGACCTCTCCCCCATCGAGCATGTCTGGGACATGCTTGGACAGAGGTTACGTCAACGTCAACAACGTCCTGCCAATGTCCAAGAACTTGCTGCTGCGTTGCAACAGGAATGGGACAATCTGGACCAAAGTGACCTTAGACGTCTCATTAGGAGTATGCCACGTCGGATCAATGCTTGTTTGGCAAACAGAGGAGGATTTACCCGTTACTGACTTGGTTGTGATGCTGTGGTAACTTTGCTGTTTGACCCCGGGTATCATTTTACCCTTATAATGGTCAGTCTGTGCCTTACTTAGTCTAACGATCATTTGGAATAAATCGATGAATGTGAACTTCATTTCATTTTGTCATTTGTTTCTTCGTCAGTTTCATTAGGTGACTTTAATAACACTTAAAAATCAAATATCCCCTACTTTTTTTGAATAGTATATTTATATAATGCATGATATTGTTCATATGCGGTTACTGAATAAATGACCTTTCACCAAACAGATTCTGTTTCGACAAATCTTTTGCAATGGGCAAGTAAACTAGCATAATATAATGATATTAGCTCATTGGTGCTGTGCCTGTTGCAATACTGGCAATTATAAAAGGTAATAATTCACAGTCCCCATCACCTTTGTTAATGGTGTGGACAAGCCTGTTGAGACAATCTAAATCTGTGGTGATTTCAGCTTTATGTACATGTAACTAGAGAAGATAAAAAAGTGTTAAGATGATTCAAAACAAGGTATCGAAAACCAAATTTTCGACAGGTATTTTTTTGGTGAAAACTAGTAATCAATCCTCACCTTTCATTGCTACCTGGTCCTGGCATAAAGGAAGAGGAGGGATTAAGATTTAATAGGTGATTGGTTGACTTCAAAATAGACAGCCATTCAGCATCAAGTTGAAGCTTGAGTGGCAGGTTGTTGTCATGGGGAATATCTAATACCTGAAATAAAAAAAAAACCACTAAATTTTCAAAAGTTATTGTGATGAATCAGACAAGACTATAATGCCCATGAAACGATGGCAGTGGTATTCAAACAACAAGGGCACTGGAAGCTTGACTAGAATGTTTGAATCCCTGGCGTGAGCTATGAAAATCTCACTAACTTTCAAGTCTAGTTCTAACTCGTCAGGGGTAACATCTGCAGGGGCGACAGGTTAAGTGTTGCCTAGTTGATCAGATGGGACTAAAATCAAGGTCTGTGTTCATAAAAGATTATGTGACAGTTGGAATTGGAAACAGCATTCCACACATTTCATTTAGATATCTTCAATGGTTTAAGAGATATGCTTCAGAATAAAAATTGTACACAAAATAATTAAGTCAAATTTGTTTGCATGGAAACATATTTTTTTGTAAACTCTAAAAATGTCTAATTAGTAAAAGGCACAACTACTATAATAGGTTGATGTGTGTACAAAGTTCCAAAAAGATATCTTGAATGGTTTATGAGATATGCTCCAGAAAAAAAATTGGGAGGGTAGACGATTCCATTTAAGTATCCCGCCTTATCTTTGTTTAGAATGGGATAAAAAATAAAAATATATTGTTGTCCTTGCAAAATATAACCCAAAAAAATTACCTGTAAAAATTTTCTTCTGGGCAAACATTTGTCTAACGATAAAAACTTGGTTGTTCTTTCAACATCATTTTCACTCTATGGAACAGAAAATAACTAAAATCAGTCTAAGGATATCTCTTGGATAGGAAAAACACGTGGAAAATGGTGTCTGGGAAGCATGACCATTTGTCTGCCCTTACAATAAAAGTCTTGAAATATTCAAGTATTACTAAAATAATGTATCCTTTATACTGAGAACATGAAATCTTAAGAAAAGCGCATAAAATAACCCTCTAATGCTCTAAATCAAAATGCTATCATTAGAGTGGATATAATAAGTGTATCCCAACTATCGAGCAGCAGTGTGCTGTACCATATTACATACCTCATGCTGAACATAAGCAGCAAATTTAACATGTAAATGAGCAGCGAACCAGTATTCAGGTTTTAACACATGTAATAATTCTTCTCCTGGGGCACTACCTAGTTTATTAGATTCAATCTCTTCAGCAAAAAAAGGTTTTCCACGTAGTAGTTTATTTACATTACCATAGTGATAAATACCTCTTGGCCAATCATGTGATAGAAAGATATCAATTGGTCTGGAAATCTAAAATAAAAACATTCATTTACTTCCACTAATGTAATTATAAAAATATATTGGATATGCATAACACTAGCGGCTGTATTAGTGATGTCACCTTTTCAGTATCTTGAAATTCTTTATTTGATCAAAAATTTAAAATTTTTAAGCAATTTACAGAGAACATTACATTATCTCTAGGGGAAACTCGATACTGTTAAATTTCCAGATTAGCAGTACAGCAGCATAACCAAATAGATACATGTAGATGATTGTGAAAATACTCAAGGATTGTTTTTAACAACAATTGATCGTTTCTTATCACAGTCATTCGTCTCTCAAACACTTTTTCATCAAATTCTAAAACACAGTTTCATTCACTCTTTTCAGTAAAAATAACAACTGTCAATTGGACAACAAGGGAAGAAATACCTGCTTAAATCTAAATACTTCTAAGTTTCTAACATGATACACAGATCTCTTTGTACTATCATTATATGGTGGTCTTTCAAAATGACCTATAATACAACAAAATAAACAAATATTTTAAAACATGGTCTCATTATATTATGATACTTTGACGTTCCTTATGAAGATATTTGCTAAATATACAACCATGTCATTGGTAAGGTCAGCATATCTGGGGATAATTTCACTTCATATGTACTTTCAAGATATAACTTCACAGTTCACACACTGATCAGCAGTGAATATTCACTAGGCCGCTACAATCACTGGGATGACATTGGTACGGCTTAATGGGCCCCCAATATTAAGTTTTTTCCTTCTGCTAATTAAATACTAAATCATTTTTTTAGGCATAAGAAAAATAAATAAAGGTGTTTGAAGTATATCTGGATAAAAATATTTCCTATTTAGTGTAAATAGGTTTGTAAAATGAGTAAAGGACACCTTTCTGCCTGGACCAATAACGTCTTATGTAAACAATGCATGTGAATTTGAGACAATGATTGACACTGCTTGATATGACATCACATGTTGAAAGCAGTCATCTTTTAATTAATTAGAAGACTTTTGTGATCCTCTGTGAAACAGATTGATAACTTCACTCCAAGTCCAAAAGCACTTGAGTGGAATTTCAAATTTTGTTTAGGGTGAAAAATAAAAATATTGATTTATATTTTGAACTGATATGTTTCTTCATTCAATTTTACTTTTACATTAGACACACACAATGTTGAGATAGAAATTAGAATCAAATGTTTGTTGAAAAGTCCACTACGTACCTCTAGTGTAATCTTTACCATTATAGATACCAGATAGACCAGCTATCCTTATTCCACCAAACTCTACAACATTTCCATAACCTACAAATACAATCAACAACACAGGAACATTAAACAATCGTGCCCAGTGGCATATCTCCCCATCTTTGTTCTGGTCCATATCTATTAGAAATAGCCATTGGTTTAATAAATAAGGGGAAATAACTCTTTAATGGCACATCTTTTTTTATGACAGAAATAATATCAAAACTTTAAAATGACAGATAAATATGACAGTATTTTCAAGAAAAAACACACTTATTATTGTGAGTTTACTTACCCATATAATATATATTTGTCGCTACCCATCCCCCATATGGTAATTCTTGTAGATAATTAGAAGCTTCATGATTTCCTCCAACAAAAACAGTTAAAACTGGTGCAACTTTTTCTCCACTGTAATATCTAGAAAAAAAAAACAAACGTGATTGACTATCGGTTGGAGACAATGTATTGTATGCTTTTTCCAGAGAACTATTTTGAAATACATGTACACATAAATAACAATATTTTTGTACAATTGCATATTCTTCTTACTAAAGGCATGTGCGCACCAAGTATTATCTGTCAGTGATTTTCTGCCACTGATGAATAATCATTGGTCTGCGGTGAGAGGTGAATTTGATTGTCAATGATCTACAATTTTATTACCGGTAGAACGATAACAGTCCAGTCACACTGTGACATCACCGCACGAGCAGTCCAAATTAGACCTTTTCGATATTTAACATGATGTAACTTCTGTAAAGATAAATATTTTTACAAAATGTCATCCATTAGTTAATTAGTCATGTATACCAAAAGGAATATATTGGAGGCTTGATAAATGTAGCTTAACTTTAATATGCAAGATCAGACTACATGTATTTCAAATTATGATGCCATACACATGTAGATACTAATGTAAGAATTTATTTAGAATGAACACAAATGTACAATAACATGTAATATGTATACAAAATTTACATTATACATGTATAATTAATAAAGATCAAAAATAACTTAGACGACAACTTTGTTAAATAAATCAACTACTTACTTGTAAAATGTGTTTAGTTTTTGATATTTAGGAGGTACGGCCATACACTGTAGATCACCTTTATTTCTAACTGATTGGAAATCTCCACAAATAAGTAAAATATCCACTTTCATGTCATTCTTCTTCTCTAAATGTTGAATAGTTTCATAAATTTTGTCCAGTTCGCCATGGCAACAACCTTCAACTGCAATCTTCATTTTGACTGATAACTAAAATTCCTGTAATTTGACAATTGAAATGGTCTTGCAATTGAAATTCAATGTCTGGTTCTACATGTATACCAACCATTAACCTGGTTGTATTTTTGAATCAACCATTTGTCTTTATATACATTTTCAATATGATTTAAGTCCCTTTTCAATTCAGTATCCACAGAATAGGACGTATACCGTGTTTCAGGAATCTATGTATAGTAATTATTGCTTTTAATAACCAATAGTTCATTAGTATATCAGTCAGGTTTTCTATTTAAAGTATTTGGAAGGGGCATGTGGACAGTGAAAAATATCAAATTTCTTGAACAAATCCACTATATGCCAGATCTATAAATTACCCATCATGGCATGTAATCAGTTAATTATTGAAGGCTATATTATAAGTGAATATTAAATTTAATATGAATGACTTTAACATAATACTAAATTATTCTGACACAGGTACAGTTCATCTAATTAAAAATTCCACATCGAACATGGTCATACATGTACATGACATGGACAAGAGGAAACCAGTAATCAATAACCCTACCAAAACATTCAAAGTATGCCATACACGTAACAAAGTAGAATTTTGAAATGCTGTAACATGTCTATTAATATAACATTTTGAAATATATTGAGAAATAGTACTGGTACACGTGTGCTACTGAATGAGAAAGGTGGAAAAACTGACGAAACGCTAGCGATTTCCAAGTGTTTTAAGTACTAATTTTCTGCAATTCTCCCCCAAGGGCTGTAGTGAAAACCGATTAAGACACTTTTAGCTAACAATATTGTTAAACATGTCAGACCTGGAATAATGGAAGATGTGGTTGTATTACATTGGAAGGGAAGTCAATTGTTTATACAAGTTATGATATAAAGATTGACTTCGAAAAGAATTAATACAATGGTAGGAAAGTAGGATATAAAGAATCTAATTGGGCATCATGTTTTTGTGTCCAATACAAAATTTACTTCGGGCGGAAATTTAGCCTGGGCTGGCAGGAGACATTTCTGCCGACCCGTTAGTAATTTAAACTAGATTGATCAGATGAAACTTCTGCCTTTCTTCTCACTTCCACGACAACAAAATGTAAAGGAGAAGTTTTATGTGCAGTAAGAATTTGTACACAGAAAACTAAATAACAATTAAAAATACGCTCTGTCAATCCCACAGACATTATCCTTAAGTGGAAATGCAAAGGGCATATCTGTGGAAACCATAGATTAGGACTATCTATAGGCCTACAGATTTCAATTTGTCTATAAGTTAAATTACTAGGCTAAACACATCCTCAGTATCCATACTCCTGATAGTTGTATCATTCCATTCTACTCCACTAACCCCTTAACTAGGTTAATTAGTCAAATTATCTGCTCCTAATAACTGTACTATTTTTATCGACGAATCAAACAATTCCATAAATAGGAAGCGACGGTACGTAGGCGAAGGGAGGTAACTCACATTATTGAACCTAAGATCACTGAATCCTTGTTGTAAACTTTGTCAAAATGCTTTGGACATCTTTTTGTGTGCATGTCACTTCTTTGCAAACTTTCTGATAATCGAACATAGAAGCTGCTGTATTGTGGTGAACATAAACAATGATGCTAAGACTGATATGTAATCTGTTTTCTATTGGTTCATAGAAACAACCTACATGGCAAATGAAATCATCAAGGGAGGATAATTTGACTATAGCCCCATTTACACACGGCCGTGATAAGCGTGCCAAATGCAGAACACTTCACAGAAAAGTTAATTTCAGTCCCTAAGCAAGTTACCCCGATGAAAACAATCATACAGATAACCAACGGGCAGCCATTTTGACAGAACTGATGACATAGCTGTCAAAGCTTGTGGGAAAAAAGTCAAAGTTTATTTGGCGCATGCGCAGTAATCCGTACTGAGAACCGATCTCAGACCGGTTAGCGTTTACACTACGAAAATTTCACCGTGCCGTGCCTGCAGGTACCGTGCCGAGACTACCTCACTTCAGTGGGCCAAATTAGAAAGCTACCAGGCACGTCACACTTATGTTTGACCCTTTTACACTACAAAAAAACGAACCCTGCCATGCTTGGCACCGTGCCTGGCACACATAAAATTTGTAATGGAAACGGGGTTTATGTTATGTGTCTTCCCCGTTAATGGACCTAATTAGCCTAAAAAGGTTAGTTGAATAGATCGGAACGATATATCACTGCTAAAACTTAGAAAATTAAAATATTTCTTTTCCTGCAACATAAAACAGCAACAACAAAAATTAATTAAATACAAAAACATACGTTAAATTATACGTATATTGACCGTGTCATTGTCAAATGATTGGAGTTATAATTAAATTAGATCCCCTTTTCCCAATCAAAATATGCCGCCCTGCTTCGTGCTTTCTGACCAAAACATTACACGACCTATTTATGGTACAAAATAACGACACTGGCATTAAACATAGCTGTGTGTAGTGTCTTCGTGTAAATAATTCCTATTTACACTGAAATAAATTGTGAATTTAAAAAATTAATAGACGTACAAAGTTTCTACACAGTATATAAAATTGACGAAAAAATTATGTCGTATTTTACGACATCGACCGTACGTCGAAAAGCGCACTTAAAAAAATAAACAAACGACAAACGCACATGTCATGGAATGAAGAGTAGCTTTAAACTTTAACTTTAAAGCCCATAATGTTACTGTGTTGAGATGAATCGTTGAACAATGTAGCAATACTCTAACTTCTGGTAATAACTGAGCAGTATTACAAACTACAGTTGTTGACATGTCACGCTTGTGTAACTTTTTCGTTTTTTGGGAGTTGCCCGCTGCATCCAATTTATCTACATGACGACATACAATAATTGGGAATACTCGATTGAACGTTCCGGAATTAAATTCTCTCAGTTCCAAAAATTGTGAAAAGGAGAATTTCGGACTACATCGTACGCATGTGCCGACCAATTATTCCGGAATGGCAATCGAGCACCCCCAATGTAATGTATAATACAGAGGTGGGAACTCGAGTCCGACCTTAGTCGATCTCATCGACCCGACTTGCGGCTCTACTTGAAATATTTATTTTGCGGCTCTACTTGAAATATTTATTGAGACTAGACGCGGCAGTCGTGACAACTTAGGCCTTGAAAAAGAGCAGGGATATAACTCAAACTTGCCTTATTTGCCATGAATTGATAACTCATCTCATGAACTGGTGACTTGAACAGGACATAATTATGGGCTTTGAGAATACTTGTGTCTCGTCTCAGTATTAAAGTTAGCGAGGATCGACTCAGACTCTTGGTGCAGTGACTTGTTCCCACCTCAAATGTGACAAACCATAACCACTAACGTTTGACATGCGCTTAAGATAGAAAAGTCTCTCATTCAGTGGTTTTGATCCCTGTCCTGTACACAAAGCTTGCCTACTCAGTTCTGCTAAAGACTGTTACATGTATACATGTATATACATGTAGGCTACATAAGTGATTTATTGAAATATAGATATAATGTAGTTTAAGTTAGTCCAAACCTGACTGGGTTTGTATCAGAGATTGTAAGAGTATCAGTTATCAGTTTCACATTATCTAAAATCTGTTTGGTGAGGGGTGCATGGCGGAATGGTTAGCACGTGCGTGCTGTATCCTAAGGTCTGTCATTGAGTCAACTGGTGTGGTTTCAATTCCCCAGTTGTACGTGACAAGGAGTAGGGTCGCTTGTCCAACCTCGTGGATTTTCTCTGGGTCCTCAGGCTTCCTCCCACTGCTAAAGACCTCTATGTGCAAGTGAATTATTGAAATAAAATTGAACCATGTTAGTCCCGAAATGACCTAGTTTGTGTCAAGTGGAGTTAAACCTACCTCTCTCCCTCTCTCTCTCTCTCTCTCTAAAATCTGTGAATAGAGCATTATTGTTTTAACTTCGCCAGGTGTCAATCTATTTATTTTGAGATTGAGGTGGGAGACAGCATTATTGTTGGCTTGTTTACTTCAAGATTCAGAATAATAGTGCATCTGGTTTAAAATTTTACAGGTGTATTGAAGATGTTACATAAAACAACAAGTACAAAACTTTGGTCATGGTGCACAAGACGCTGGTTCCACAGAACTAAAATGAAACTTAAAGAATCCACAGAAACAGTGACACGAAAAAATGAAATAGATATTCAGATGTTGTCTGATGGTCTGCACAAACATATCTTCAATAATACAGAAAAGAAAGAATTGGACGAAAAAAGTAGGACTATAATTAAGTCACATTTAGAAAATCATGATTTATGGAACAGACCCACTGAACACTTAAAAGATGTCAACTGCTCTTTACCTAAATTACAGGGTAAAAATATTGATGAACATTTTAGAAATATTGCAATAGAACAGTCAGCAGATATTGTGAATTTTGCGAATGTTATAGCCAATGCTAAAAGACCACCAAAGCCTAAGGAATGGCAGTTTTCAAAAGGGTGGACAAAATATGATGCAAATGGAGAATTTAAGTCTGTTGATTTCCCTGATGCAGATGTTCTAATATTTGATATGGAAGTTTTAGTGAAAGAAGGTCATTTTCCTACCATGGCAACAGCTTTGTCACCAACGCATTGGTAAGAATTTATTTAATATTTACTCTTCTGAATGAAGAGATCAAAATTCTTGTTGTGAAACTATTTGACATTGTAAAATGCAGTTAAAAAATTTTCATGGAAAGCTGAAACAAAACTCTTTCTTCTTCAAATTTGCGACAGCTTATTCTAAATTGTGTTTGAATTGTATTACTTATTACTTTCACGTTTATTTTTATATCAATTCAAATTAAGACTTTTTTGCCTCCCTCAAAACACTGCTTGTGGGCATATATCCATTGTTTGGCAAAGTTATATTATTTATTGGTATATGTTTATAGGTATTCTTGGTGCAGTGATTATGTTGTTGAAAATAAATTCCGGTGGTCTGATGAACCAAAGCTGTCTGATTTGATTCCATTAGAAACGAAAAGAAACTCAACGATCACAAGCAATAAAAGTAAAAAACTTATTATAGGACACAATGTTGGCTTTGACAGATCCTTTGTTAAAGAACAGTATTTTGTACAGGTTTGTTATTATTGTGATTAGTACAGATCTCGAGTGGTATCACTTAGTTGTAATGTAATGCCAAGTGGGAGCCATAAATGGTAAGATGCTGGCTTGCTAGCCTGAAGGTCGCAGGTTCGCTCTAGGTGTTGGCCGAAAAAGTTCATTGAGATTTTCCGGCATGGTTTCTCCTTACAAGGACAGTTGTCAAGTTGTTTGGATGGGACAAAAAACTGAGGTTCCATGTACACATTGGAGTGCACATAAAAGATCCCTTGGCAGTCGGAATCAGTATAAGAGTAGGCCGTAGTGTCGGTGCCTGGGCAAAATTTCCCTCACAGCACACTGTATGGCGTATGCCAGTCTTCATTAGCCCAGTCGAATCAGAACAGTAGGACGTTAAACACCAAGTATAAGTGTGGGGACACGTCAGTCATGCATGTATAGCAAGTGATTCACAAACATGGATCTAGAAAGGCTTCTGTATTTTTCAAGCTCAGTTTGCTACTTTTCAAAGGTAATGCCTTTGGACTAAGAAGGAAAGCAGGTCTAATTGTTCAGTTGGGACAGAAATATAACAATGTCCTGTGGAGTCTTGAAATGAATAAACTTCTTTGATGTTGGCCAAAAATTAAAATGCCAATTTCTTGGTATTTTATGTTGAAAATGTTTACCTCTAGAATCTAGATGTATATATCAGAACAGTATTGAGATGTATTATATTTTGTTCTACTGTCAACAGTTAAACCACAATTTAAACTAAAATAAGTAAATAAGCCGATTTCTGCTATATCTTTTGAAACAAAAGATTTGATAGAGATTTCCCTATTTCTACATCAAACCAACAGAATTAAATCCTTTAGCTCCTTTAATACTTTCTAAAAGATTGATACAACATTTTATTTTCACCGGATGCCTCACATCTTTATTACTCCACTGTTGCAACCTAATGAAAATATTAATCAAACTGCTGGACAAGCTAGAATACAGAAATATCAATTTTCACTCCTCTTTATGTTATTTTCAGAAAAGTAAAGCCAATTTTTTAGATACAATGTCTTTACATATAGCAACTTGTGGTTTAACAACATTTCAACGATTACTTTATAAAGCTGGTGGTAAAAGTATGAGAAAGGAAGTTGTTGAACATACAGAAAAACAAAAACAATGGCATAGTGATACAGTAAGTGTACATAGATTCCTTAAAATTAATTGTATATTAGTTCATGATAGTGCTAGCAATCAATGTATAAACATGAATGTCCCTAGTCAATTTGCAACGGTCTGAATCAATACCTGATGATATTATTAAAGTTATTAAAAAATTATGGTATGACATATCTGACAAAAGTTCATACTGTTTATAAAGTTTTATAGATTTACCATTAAATCTAGAATGACCTATTTCACATGAGAGGGCACAATTTTTTTTTTAGAATTCATACATCTTCATTAAAGGAGCATTATGTAAGATTTTAATAAAGAGCTGGCTGTTTTCACTATAACATTTCAAAAATAGATAATGCAAAATGAATACATTGAAAATTTTACTCAAGTTACTTTATTTTGAGCAAAGTTGTCAATTGTTGTAGTTTTGACAAGATATGTGCATTTATCGTAACCACAGTACTGGTCATTTAAGTCTTAATCTCACTTTTCCATTTTTAAATCAAATCATTAAATGGCTGAATTGTTCTAATCTACTTAAAATCAGAGCCATGCAATGGCATTTAGGGTTGATTAAGGTCTTGTCATGTTAATAAATGTCTAATTAATAATTTATATAACATTTAAGGCTCAGAGAAAGAGCTGCAATAGGCTGATTTAGCTATTACATAATGCCTGTTTAATATGGATATCAAATGAATTTAAAATTGATTACTATTTGTTTGTGTTTCTGATCAGAATCATGAATTTATTTGTTAAAATTATAAAAGTTTTCATGTACACATTAGAACTTGGTGTCGGCCTTTAATCTCTACCTTTTACTCTATATTTGTAGAGAAGTGATTGGAAGCTTGTCAGTACAATGAATAATTTAAATGATGTATATCAATTACATTGTGATGGTGAACCATTACAGAAATCCACTAGAGAGATCTTCGTAGAAGGATCAATGGCAGATGTTAGAGAACAGTTTCAGGTACCAGGAAAAATTAATTATTTTCACACAGAAGTTAGATATTTATTTTCACAATGACCTGGTGGTTAAATACAAGCATGTAGCATTTGAGTATCTCTCTCCACAAGGCCATTTCAGGAGAAGAAGATAATTGGAAGAATTATAAAGGACTTCCCACTTTCTTTACTCCAGTCTAATTAAGATTTTATATACATTTAGATCTACTCTAGTTTTCATTTGTTTACTCGATCTCCATCTGCATGTTAGATCATAAGGTCTGTCATTGAGTCAAGTCATTCGGTTTTCAAATCCCTGCTTGTACGTGACAAGTAGTAGGGTCGCCTGTCCAACCTCGTGGGTTTTCTCCACGTTCTCTGGTTTACTCCCACACACAAGTGAATTATTGAAATAAAATTTAACCATATGTTAATCCCAAAATAACCTAGTTTGTTCCGCAATAAAAAAATTGATTACATTTTTTTGATCATACAAAATTTTGTTCTAAATAGTTTTTTTATGATCCTAATGTTATTATACTGTCGATATTGAACAGGAATTGATGACATATTGCGCTGGTGATGTGGTAGCTACACATTCAGTATTTCAACAACTGTGGCCAGAATTTTTAGATAGGTTTGTGCATTTATCAGTTTATCACTTGAAAAAAAATTTCAAACTTATATCTGGTGCCTGGCAACACTAGGTTTTAATTTTTATATATATATATTATATATGAACGAGATCTGGCTTGTAGTGCCTTTAAGGTATATGATATTCAATGGCTTTCCAATAGAAATATAAAAACGAATGATTAATGTTGAAAGTGTATTAATAAATGTTTGTATATTATGCAAACTGAAAATTGGAGGTAATTAATGTACTTAGCACATTCTATTATTATTTTGCCAATCTGAAAAAGATCCTATATCTTCTTTCCGCCTTAAATTTTAAAAAATATATATCAGCAGATTGTCTCCCCTGACACACTAATGGGAGATAACTGTGTTATTTTTGTTGCAATGGCTTGAAGACTTTATTTATTCTTATGTACAGAACAACCTGTTCACTTTGACTCCTGTAATGTGTTAAAGATGTATTGTTTATTTTGCTGTAGATTTCCACATCCTGTAACTCTAGCAGGCATGTTAGAGATGGGTTCTGCCTATCTACCTATTAATGCTAACTGGGAGAGGTATATTCAGCAGTCGAATGCTATTTATGATGAGATGCAGAGAGAGTTGAAAAATCTCCTCATGAATTTAGCTAATGAAACATGTCAATTCTTAGAAGATGAGAGGTACAAATTTCTTATATAAGGACATTGCATGACATTAATTCATCCAGTTGGATTTTGTACATTTTTGTCTATTTGGTTCAATTTAACAAAGCTGTCCAGTACTCATAGTGCGGCTGATATTAGTATGGGTATGGTATTTAAAGCCTAAAGGCATGGTCCAAGTGTTCTTTCCATGTAATAACTTTATTGGGCCCCTGTTGCAGGGCGAGGGGTAAAATCTAGTTCACACTTTTAAGTTAAAGAATTACTTCTACAAGATTCACTTCAACAAGATTCAAAGTGCTAATACTTAGATAACCATTGTGATTATATCCAAACTGCTGGGAAAATATATTGATTACCAATAAAACATTAAACTTTACAACCATTTGTCTAAAATAATATGGAATTAACCAATATTAGTCAACCATTTTTGGACTGATATTCCATTCAGAGAGTTAACTTTCATAATATTTTAGTTGGGAGTGGCTTACAAATTACTGTAATCACTATTAGAGATTTTAAATTAATACATTTTTTCAGGTATAAAGATGACCCTTGGCTATGGGATTTAGATTGGTCTGTCACAGATTATAAATTAAAAAAAGAAACCAGCAAGAAAAATACATCAACTACTAATACACCATTATTAGATGAAGATGAAACTGATGTAAGTAACCATTAAACACTATAATAAATATAGTGTTCTTTTGGTTAGGAAAGCAGGTTAATCTAGTGAGGAATTTGAAACATCAAGTAACATACAGTTTATAGTTTTTGAGATTTCTTCCCCTCATAATTGTTGGAATGGTTCAACATGAGCAAGAACTGTATGAAAATTCAGAGTTGTGCATCAGATCTATTTTTCAAACTTACTACCAGTATTTAGTTTATTGTGTTTATTTGATGGGGAGTTATAGCTCTGTTTGCATTAAAACATACTGTGAAGTCGTTGCTACACTTCACCAAGCTGCTCGTCAGTGTATATGTTAATAGTTTTATGATGACTTTTTATGACTAGAATTACATGTATGGAAGATCATTATTTTTTTTCATTTCAGGATGAAGAAGAAATACATCGAAGACAAGTCATTAACAAGGTTTTACGTACTGAAAGCAGAATTCCAAAAAACTCTGTCTTTATGGCTGGTTACCCTAAGTAAGAGACATAATTCATTTTGATTTACATCACTTTTATCTGATATTAATATTATGTGTTTAGAACATAGCTGTTATGAATAGGATTGTCCAAATTATTATACAGGTATTTTAGTGAAGACAGGTTTTGTACTTTTTGTTTCCAAGAGACATGGCTTGATATCAAACTGCTTTGAAATTGAAAAATACTCAATCAGACAAATCTTGGTACATCCACGATTTCTGAAAATAGAATGGAATAAATTTGTGTGGTTAAATATGAAAAATCAAGCTTCTGTACTGTCAGTAAGTCAGGTTTGAGCCCAGTATTGGTCAGTAAAGTTTTTTAGGATTTCCAAGCGTGTTTTCCGCTTGCCATTGGTGTAGGATAGAGTGCCTAGATGTTAGTATGGGATGAAAAATTGAGGTGCTGTATACATGTTAGCGATTATGTAAAAAGAACACTTGACATGGTATCCATGTCAGGATGGTTTGTATTGACATACTTTCTTACAACTTTACTTGTATGTATGTATGACATAGGTTTTGTTATTTTCAGATGGTATCGAGAATTGTGTAAACGACCATCAGCTGAGGACTGGCAACCTGGACCATCACAGATATCAACACAGATGAGAGTTGTACCGAAACTTCTTCGCTTAACGTGGGAAGGTTTTCCTCTTCATTATGATGAAAAACATGGTTGGGGTTATCTTGTACCCGGACGTGAAGATTCTGAGATTGAAGTAGAACTTGATAGACAAGATCCGGACAGAAATAAAGATAAACTTATGTTTCCTATAGAGTAAGACTAAGTTCTTTGTAGAGTAAGACTAAGTTAGTTCCCTAAATAGAGTAAGACTTAAGTGCCCTATAGAGGAAGGCTAATTATAAGTTTCCTGTAGAGTAAGACTAAGTTCTTTGTAAAGACTAAGTTCCCTATATTCTATAGAGTAAGACTAAGTTACCTATAGAGGAAAACTAAGTTTCCTATATTCTATAGAGTAAGACTAATTTGCCTATAAAGTAAGACCAATTTCCCTATAGAGTAAGACTAAGTTCCCTATGTAGAGTAAGACTAAATTCCCTATAGAGTAAAACAACTGATTACCCCAAACATTTGTCACATGACCTCACATTACAACTGATATAATAAAATACCTCCTTATTAAAGATGTCTTGCTCATCATATACAAAACATTCATTTGGTTGCGTAAGTGTGAAATATACAAATATTCAACCCTAAGACTTGTGTTTCATATAATTTTCCAACGAGTTACATCTGAGCATACAGTATATAGTCTTGCAACACCGATGATAAAACTCCAAAATCGATCTGAAACTTCAGCAAACATTTGAGATATTATAAATAGTCATATCTCTAGTCATATTCAGTGGTGTGTAGTATGTATGGGTTTATGTATGGTGGTATGGTTTATTAACTTTGACAATTACTGCATGATGTAGCGTTAATTACGATTGCATATTTTTTTTAATATAATAAATTGTGTATTGATTTACAGATCATTAAAAGCATTTGTTTGTAAGACAAAGAATTTGGATATAGAAAAAGACTTAGGTACGATAACACCACCTCAACTAGGACCTAATTTTGATAGTAGCGCCATGGATCCATCTGAAAGGAGTAAACATTGGAAGAAAATAAAGGATGAAACCCCACTAAATGATGTAAGTCGTTGAATTATAGACATTGTTACTTGGGTGGTGCTTATTCAGATTTATTTAAATATTGTTACTCTGCCCTATAGATGCATGGGCAACCTGAATGGGAGAACTTATATATTGTCAATTTTCTCTCCTATTGATACAATTCCAACCAATTTTATTTGACCCCAGGTTATGATTAAGTTTATATTCAGTTCACAATACATGTAATATAACTTATAGTTTTGTTTTAAATTCTATTTAGAATTTGCTATCAAATGTTTTATCTCCCCATTATTTCATACTGTTGGTTCTGAACAAAGTTTATCCAGTGTTCATATATATTGATAGAACCTAAGCACTAAGGGGCAATGAAGTCCACATGGACTTGTGTTTCTTACAATTAGATCATTGTTAAGGGCTTACTTGCCCACAATTCCTGACTATATTTTTCTGAAGGGCATTTATGAGCTATTACTTTCTACAGAGCTCTTTTTCAAAACACTATAAGTGCCATTCAGACTTTACATTTTTCAAAATGTTTTTTTTATTGTTTCACCTACATGTACCTCAGACAAAACTGCTTGATTGAACACAGTGTTTTAGAAAAGAACTCTACAAATATATATGTAACTTATAAAAGATGTTTTGTTTTTAGTTTCTATTTAAAGATATATTAGATAAACATAAAGGTGATGGACCGTATGATGTTGGTTTTCCTGGTTGTATGTTTTATAAAATACCTCATAAGGTTAGAGTCCCTTTTACATTTCACTCTAATACTGTTTAAAGACAATGCAATGGGGCTTAGTGTCTTGGCAACACCATACTTTCCTTGTCATGCCTACGGCCACCACACCTAAGTGATAAATGAATAATGTTAAGGAGTCTTCTTGTCACACTCCAGGATTTGAACCCGTCACAAACATGTAAAATTTGAAAGTTCCTTATAGCCAGCAATATGAATAAAAAGAATCAGTAAATTCTTGTAGGGATATAGAAAGGGTTTTTGACACCATTACGTAGAAGAGAAGGTGTATTCTGTAAACCTCGAAATTAATCTTAAAACTTCTAAGTCTCAGTTATGGCAGGGCAAATCTGTCACAAAATTTGCATACAATCTAATTTGAGCATCCAGGAATCAAGTTCACAAAGCATTCTCAGACTTAAGTTAAGAATTTACTCAACTTTTAATCACTGTTTATGAGAAATATATTTAATTCAGAAACACAAAACTTTGCACATAGTTTCTTGTTGATGTATTTGATACATTAAAACAACAAAGGTTTTATAAAGGGCTATATTTTACTGAGAATGCTTTGTGAACTCGGAACCTGATGTAACTGTTCAGTTAAATCTCCGCTAATCAGTGAAGATTTCCAAAGTGACCGTGCTTCTTTAAAATCGATTCTTTTTTACTAGACTATTATTGCAACAAATTCTATTATACACCCACACTTATTTATCAATAAAAATGTGCCAGAGGACTGCAAGTACACGGAAGACAAACTACAGACATTGCAAGAAATAAACAACAAATATCAAATCAAGTGAATGGATCCGGGGGTCAGCCATAAGCCCCATTCTTTATTTTAGATTATTTGATTCCTATTCATGGAGTTATCTTCCCCTTGACATTCAGGCTCATGAAATCTCTTGAACTAGATACAGGCCACTTGGTATGGTACCCTAAAAAAAAATTTAATTGCAGAGTATTCTTGTGTATCATTGCTTATTATTTTGTTTATAGTATAATAATAAAATGTGTTTTATAGGATGGTGTAAACAAGAGAGTTGGTAACCCATTGGCTAAAGATTATTTACCTCGTATAGAAGATGGTACATTACGTGCTGCAGCAGGAAATGAAGCTCAGAGAGTTTTATTGATAGGCAAGATGTGTTCATACTGGAAAAATAACCAACAGAGAATAGAGTAAGTTTCTTCAAAAATGCAAACAAATTGATATCGAGCTTTATGTTAGGATATCATTATTAAAGATCCTCTACGAATTGACAGAGAATAGAGTAAGTTTCTTCAAAAATGCAAACAAATTGATATCGAGCTGTACCCTACTTTTTTCGCCTGCTCAAAGGACGGTTTCACATTTTATTGTTTGATCATATACAATCACCACCAGTTCTGATTGCTATTTTTAGATAGTGTTGATTCTGCAGGAGGGTAAAAAAAAAAGTTAATTCTCTGCCACTAAGGTCATCAGTTTATTGTTATTTTTCAGGGGTCAAATGGCTGTTTGGATGAAGAAATCAGAATTACCCAAAACTGTGACCAAGTAGGTTCCATGAAATAATTGACATAAGATTGAATGTTAAATATATGTTTCTTCCCTTAAGCTGCAGTTTCAAGTGAAAAGTTAAATGTTTTAAGTCAAAAGTTTATATTTTCATGTCAAAATTTATATTTTCAAAAGTTTATATTTTCATGTCAAAAGTTTATGTTTTCATGTCAAAAGTTTATATTTACATGTCAAAACATACATTTTATGAAAGAAAAATTATTGATAGCGATATTGTAAGCCTTACATTGTAGAATGGGACCTATATAAATAAAAAGCACTGAGGCCTACCATATTCTGGTGTAAAATCAAAGACTTCCCCATTCAGTGAAAAAAGAAGGTTTTTGATATTTTGACATATTTAAATTTTTTCTGCAGACAAGAGACTTATGATGCAGATGGAAGATTTGGTGCCATTGTACCAAGAATTGTACCAGCAGGAACTGTTACCAGGCGTGCTGTAGAACAAACCTGGCTAACAGCCAGCAATGCTTATGTAAATATCATTTATTTTAAATTTATATTCTATCTGAAAATAAAATAGGCCACTGGAATGTATGTATGCAAACTTCAGAAAAAATAATGTTGATCAACAGTACATTAGATTTTGCTGTCAAGCAAGAAAATTGAGTGTGCTTCAAAAATGCAACTGGTGACTGTGTGCACTATTTACATGCCATTAGATATAAAAATATCACTCCACATATTATAAGCGTAGTTTATTATTTTCTGAAATAAAACGAAACTCAGAGTGATCAATGTGTCACTCTTTGTATTGATTTATTTTTATTTTAAAACTGGTTATTTCAAATATCATTTTCTGTACAATAATATTTGATTATGCCAAATTGTATGAAATTGTTTTTAGCATAAAATAGTATTGATTTTGAATGCCAATGAGTTTCGGACATCATGTAATCTGTTTACATTTTAGGTTGATAGAATAGGAAGTGAATTAAAGGCCATGATACAAGCGCCACCTGGGTACCATTTTGTAGGAGCAGATGTTGACTCACAGGAATTATGGATAGCAGCAGTTCTTGGTGATGCTTTTTTTCAGAAAGTACACGGTAATAATATGTTTTATTATCATGCACACTTTACTACATAAAGTACGATTACATATATCAGACTATTACTGGACATAATTGTAAAGTATGTTTACATATCAAACTATTTCTGAACATAATGTAAAGTTAACATATTATAAACTATTTCTGAACATAATGTAAAGTATGTAAAGTTAACATATTATAAACTATTTCTGGACATAATGTAAAGTTAACATTATAAACTGTCACTGGACATAATGTAAAGTTTAACATTTCATAAACTATCACTGGACATAATGTAAAGTTTAACATTTCATAAACTATCACTTCAAATTTAAAGAGGCATTATAACAACTTGACTTTTTATTTGCTATGATTTGATTATACAGTTATATCATTATATAGACGCTTGTGAACAATGCTTTAATGTAAGGAAGGTCAATTCTTGGATTAAGTTGAGTCAAGGCCTAATTTGAATATGATATTAATTACGTTTCTTTTCTTGTTAAGTTGTAATGTTCCTCACCACAGACAAATCTTAGTCTTCAAACTTGTTAAAGGTAAAATAAACCAGATCCTTAACATATATCACAAATGTCAAAATAATATATAAATTCCTGCATGAAGAATGGGCTGACTTAATTTATTGTCGAAATGACATAAAGATGGCAGTATATCATTTCGTTAATAGATACTGATTACAATATTCAGATTCTGAAACATTTTGGATTTCTGCTTTACATATTTATATTTGATCTATTACATGTTATAGGATGTACCGCTTTAGGTTGGATGACATTACAAGGTAAAAAGAAAGATAAAACTGATCTACATAGTAAAACAGCTGAAACTGTTAATATCAGCAGAGACCATGCTAAAGTAGGTATTCTTTTAATAATTTTTTAAAACCATCTATAGCCTCTCTTTTTTAATGTTTTTTGTGTGCATGTAATGAGTGATGTGACACATATTGCAAAGTTTGTCATCCATGTAAGATGTGATTGGATACCATTTTAGTATGGGACATGGGGTAGAGTGTTCTCCCTCTCAATAAACACTTACAATCATTGTGACCACAGGACCACTTTACTGTATAAGCAATATGCAAACCAGGTTGCTTACTTAAATTTTGATACTGGAATTGAACATTTTTAATCCGAATTGTAGTAGTACTAGTACACTATACACTGATGATCGACCCTTTAAAGAGAGAGAGAAATGGGGTTTGACTTCCACTCAACACAAACTAGGTCATTTCGGGACTAACATATGGTTTAATTTTATTTCAATAATTCGCTTGCTTGTAGGGTTCTTTAGCAGTTGACTCAATGATACAGCGCACACATGCTAACCATTCAGTCATGCCCCAACGAAGGTGCAAAATTGTAAATATAACAAAATGTTTACATATTTTAGGTTTTTAATTATGGAAGAATTTATGGAGCTGGTCAGAAATTTGCAGAGAAATTATTAATACAGTTCAACCCAAAACTCAGTCCTGAAGAAGCCAAGCAAAAAGCTAGGAAGATGTATTTATCTACAAAAGGAAGGAGAAGGTACAGAAGGCTTATAGTCCCACTTCCATTTTTTTTTAGCATCATTAGTGTCAAAATTTTATTTATGGCCAAAATGATTTCAAATGCTGGTTTAATATCTGATCTGGTGATTATTTTGAATACTTATAAGGTTGATGTAACTGGATTTATTAGTGGTCTCGTAATTTTTGTCTCCCCAATAATTAGACTGCCAATCATTGTGTATAAATTCTCGAATATGAAAGACGGTAGATAGCATATTGGCACATATTATGGTGTGATATAATATTGTATTGCTGTGTAAAAATAAATATCATGTTGGCATATAGCCATCCATTTCTAACTTTTAAATGCTCTCTGCTACACAAATGGATAAAGGTGTACTAAATATATATTTAAAATCATGAATATTTGTGTGTTTCTAACTCAAGGAGTTAAATATGAATTTATTTGAAATTTTAAGGCATTGGGTGGAAACTGAAAATAAAATAGATAATCAACAATTAATACCAGATTGATTTATGCTATACTCCATGTTTAGATTGATATATTTTGTTTAATTGTCCCTCGCCTTTTGAAGAAATCAGGGGACTATTAAAATGGGTGTGTCTGTCTGTCACACTTTGGGACAAGATAACTTTGATTCGAACTGATGGAGAGTGATGAGCCTTGACTGAGTTCGATCAAGAACATTTTCTGCTTAGACTAAGATTACATAAGCAGTTTGACTGCTCGATAATTTTCAAAAAGATAAATGCGGAATTAATTAGTATGTGTCATCTATTTATTTTGGAACATCAGCCTCACTGTTGGCTTTTTTGATTTGGTAATCATTATTATTGATGGGTGTTTTCTATTTTTGTCTCGTAGTAGTGACAGACATTGGTATGGTGGGAGGTAAGTGGTATTAATATAAGTTTTATACCTATTTCTAATTGGTAGATGATCAGACAATCTAACATGTAACCTATGATACTGAAGATGCTGTTGGATGATCATGTAGACAGAAGTCAGATTTTGGATATTTTGAAAGGCTTGCACATGCACACAAGGTGGGGGTGCAGTTGAAAGCCTGCTTCAGGAAAAGCATGTCAATGGCTCATAAGTACTGTGAAATAATCATTCAAGTCATACTCTTGTCAAAAAGAATGTACCAGATGTGATCAGTTAAGGGTTATTAAGCTCCCACTTCTAGCTGGTATTATTTATTTGGATGAACAGCCAAACTGATTATGTATAAATGTCATTTTACTTACAGTGAAAGTCACATGTTTAACGAATTAGAGAGAATAGCTAAATTAGAAGAACCACGAACACCAGTATTAGATTGTAGAATAAGTAAAGCTCTGGAACCAGATAATGTATTAGATGATGTAAGTAAAAAAAAACATCTATTGATGACAGAAAGATGATTAAAATGGATCATATAATACATCAAATACTGAAACACTGAGCAGCCCAATATTATCATACATACACCTACCTTGATTAACTACTTAATCTGCCTTGATTGACTGACTTAATCCTTTGTGGACAATTCATCAATCTAATCTTAAACAGAAGTCGTTGCTTCCCCATTGTCGGACAATTCATCAATCCAATAAGAGTGATTATGATTTTAATCTTCGTGTTTACCTTGTGGTTTCTTCACTGTCAGACATTTTAATCCCATTGATGTGAGCCGACAATATGTATAAACTAATCATAGATGTCACATATTGTAAGAGTATATAACACCCCAAATCAATATATTATCTGTTAACTTGTAAATCAATATATCCGTTAATTTGTCTTCGATATCACTTCAGTGGAAGCGGACATTAAATAAAGCATTTCACATACACACATGTGGTTATAATACAATAATCGAAAACTAAAGTAGAAATCTCGCGAGATGGAAACATAACAATTATCACATTAACTTATAAATCAATATATCCGTTGATTTGTCTGCGATATCACTTCGGTGGAAGTGGACGTTATATAAAGCTAGTTACATAAACACCCACACGTGGTCATAATACAATAATCGAAAACTAAAGTAGAAATCTTGCGAGACGCGTGAAACTACAAGAGATGTAAACGTGACAATTATCACGTCAGAGAAAAGATACTAGTTTGATGGCATGTTCTCGGATATATGGTAATATTTTGTATGGGGTTTATGTTTAATAAAAGAAGAAATAAACAAGCTGAGAAATGTCGACAGAGATTTCGATATTTCAATATATCCGTTGATTTGTCTGCGATATTACTTCAGTGGAAGTGGACGTTATATAAAGCTATTTTACACAAACACCCACACGTGGTCATAATACAATAATCAAAAGCTAAAGTAGAAATCTTGCGAGACGTGTGAAACTACAAGAGATGTACACGTGACAATTATCACAATTATCACCTCGGAGAAAAGATACTATTTTGATGGCATATTCTCGGGTTCAGGTACTATTTTGAATGGGGTTTATGTTTTAAAAAAAAAAAAGAAATAAACAAGCTGAGAAATGTCGACAGATATTTCGATTGGAATAGTGTACATGTAAGTAGTTAATTGTTTTACACGATAGCACGTGCGAGTGATATTAATTAGGAGATGGAGCGACGGTCACTGCCAAAAACTTTTCGGGATGTCTTTTTTTTTTTTTTACCTCCATCCATTATCTAAGTCAAAACGTAGTATAAGACGAATGCCAGACTTCTGCTGAAAAAAGTATCGACTTATACCCCTAAAAATACGGTAATTTTGGGAGTGATTTTGAACAAAAGTACGGGTCGAAAGTAGTCGGCACACTTTCATTCTATTTTATTACAACAACACGTAATTTTGTAGGAATATTACTGACAGGAATTTGAATAACGTACGGGAATTGAATATGAAAAATAACGAGGCGCATCTATTTTTTTTATTACGTACGAATTTGAATATTTTGTTGACACGTGAATTTTAATTGTGGTCTAAAACTGCCTTCATAAACAATGATAAGAGTTATGCCCCTTTTCGTCAAAAATGTCCGACAAGAAAAATTTTGATATCCCAAAACTGGAGAGATGTATTGCAAATTCACCAATAGCCAAACGTAGAATATCATTTTATTGTAGTTCATGAAAAGTTGTGTTAATATGACTGTAGTTTATTTTATTGTAGTTTATGACAAGTTGTCTTAACTGGATTGTATTTGATCTTATTGTAGTTTATGACAACTATTTTATAGGATTGTACTTGATTTTATTATAGTTCATGAGTTTTATTATTTGATTGTGTTTGATTTTATTGTAGTTTATGGCAAGTCGTGTTATTGGATTATATATTTTTTTTATTGGATTGTATTTGATTTTATTGTAGTTCACAAGTCTTGTTTTTGGATTATATATATATATTTTTTTATTGTAGTTTATGACAAGTCGTGTTAATTGGGTTGTACAGAGTTCAGCTGTAGATTATTTACATCTAATGTTAGTATGTATGAGATGGTTAATTGATAAGTATAATATAAATGGTAGATTCTCTATTAGTCTACATGATGAAGTGAGATATTTAGTAGAAAGTGAAGATAGATATAAGGCAGCTCTAGCTCTACAGATAACCAATCTACTCACTAGAAGTATGTTTGCTTATAAACTTGGTATGAATGATCTACCCCAGGTATGTACAGGTATTCTTAATGTCACAGATTACACATCACAATTTTAGTTTTATTAGGAACTTTATAATTATTTATACACTAACCCTGTATTCTTGAACATTGATTAGTACTAAACAGTGTTTAATTCTTTGATGGTGCAAAACAAAACTTAAACAGTGTTTATCCGTACAATCTATCACATTTTGTATTTATTTTGTGAAATTTCTCTCAATGACTGACTACATATAGGGCCTACACATAAAACTATTAAGTTTTAGAAATATGAGGCCCAAATATTGTACAAATAAGGCCGGAAATAAATACTGAATGTGTACTTTTGGTGCTGACTGTTGAAGGGGGGGGGGGGGGCAATTCACTGGTATTTATCATGTTGGCCATAATTCCTATTTTAATATAATTTATCTCAACTATTTCATTTATTTATGGAATGTTTTTTTCTTGTATTATTTCAGTCTGTAGCATTTTTCAGTGCTGTAGATATTGATGGTTGTTTACGTAAAGAAGTTAGTATGGATTGTAAAACACCATCTAATGTACATGGTTTGTGTAAAGGTTATGGCATACCTCATGGTGAGTATTTTAAAAATCAACAGATAAATGAAAGAAATACAATTCAATTTCCAGAGTAGATTTTTCAGAATTTGTTAAACGTTTTATTAGTGAATCCTCCACTGAATTCTGCAAATACCATGGCCCCGTTTTGGCTTTTTCCCCCCAGTCAATGCCTTCTAGCTTGCTATGATAATGAAATCAAATGTGGTTTATCGTTATACTTTTCTGCACCGACCCGACCCGACTACTGAAAACATGCATATGCTGCCATGCAATGTTCTAGAAGTAAAAAAATGCTTGGAGAGCAACATTTTCGTCTACTCTTTGTCAAATTACAACTGCCAAGTATTCTATTATGTGCACTTTTTTGCTCCCTGAATACCATGAACATTATCAATGAACAAACCTATTTTATTTTGTAGGTGAAGCTCTAGATATTCATGAAGTGTTAAATATTACACATGGATCTTTCAAAACAAATAAAAAGTTTAAAAAACAGGAGATGTATGACGAACAAGTAGATGTTCAATTATCATAATAAATGATGTAAATATTGTGAATATTCTTTTATTAACAACCTTGGATGGTTTCTCAAAGCTGGTGACATCTTGGGGGTTTATTAGCCAAATGTCTGAATTTTCTTCCACAATGCGAGACAGCTTAACACAATGGGCTCATCAGCTAATTATTTGTGGCATGAAATAGGCAACTTGCTTACCAGGACAGGAATGGACCCAATGGTGAAAACGTTGTAGATTTGTTTTTACATGCCAACAATTTATTTGCAAAATTCAACATACATATATATACATGTATCCATCAGATATAAATATCTTGTTGACATTAGGGATCTATTTCTTTGAAATCAATGCTGGACCACACACAAACACAAACTTTGACTAACCAGTGACAAGAAGCATCGGGTAACCACTGGCAAGGTTGTTACAGATTTGATCTGAGAGCTGTATCAGTATACACACTATTTATTAGCCTCAGGTCTGTTGGACCTTTAATCTATCATCAAATTTGACCAACTATCATTAAATTTTTCGAAATACAGATATATCTATCAAGCTGATAATTTATCATGCTACTAAATACAAGGATCATGGACACTGGGGAAAACCTAGCATTAACAAGTAGGGGGCAGCAGATATAATGGATGCAGGATTTTTGAAATGTGGGGGAAGAGACCACAAAATTTTAAAATTATTTAAATTGATAATAATGGGGAGTGATAGAAGATAAGGGAGACTTCCCTGATAAAAATACCCACAAAACAGCATTATTTGCTTGATTAAAAATAATTATTGGGCACATTTTGATGGTCCAGTGCAACACCCTCCCCTAATTACATCAGTGGGGCACATAATCTGAAGCAACAATTAGCTTATATATGTAAATCATTACAAGGGACATTACCAGCAAGTCATTCCCCTTATCTGACATGTAAAATCTCAACACTTTATTTTAATTTACCGGCTATGTCAAATTTGTGTATTTAAATTTTATTGGCAAGGATATGTGGACGAGATTTCAGCCCCAGTCTTATCGTAAATGCTTAAGGCTTTCATAATTTTAAAGTAAGTATTTTGAATTTGTTAGAAATTGGAACCATATACATTCAGATAAAAAGCTATTTTGGGTGATTATAGCTAGCAGTAACATAAAATTGTCGTGTAACAAACAAAACAAAGCAGTTTTACTCATACTCCTGCCTTCCCTCTAAAATATAGAGAATAATTTTTTATAGTGTTGTTTATGAAATATCATAATCTAGCACTTTACAACACTTTTTCTCTGAAATAGAATAATAGTTTTATGTACACTATCTTAACATTACACTCCTCTATCTTCACACTGCTTTCTGTCGTGATGTGTTATTATTATCAGATTCTAAAATATCAATAACTTGAATGGCTGCATCGGGTATCCTTGTTCCTGTTTCAAAATAAAAAAATAAATGTAGATGGAAAGCAGCTCATCATAACTTTTGATCCCTTGCAAACTACAATATTATGAAAGTTGAGTCTCCGAATCTGTCCAGAATCTGTCCAAAATTAGTTTACGTTTCATATTTACAAAGATTTGATTAATTGAAAATTTCCGGCATACTCTGCAGACGATATAAGCAAGTATTTGATCGGCAGAGACAGAATATGTGCATGATAGTATTCCGTTCTGTTTAACTGTTGTTCCAACTTTCCGGTTTGTGCATCAATGAAAATTGAATGGTCCCAAAACGACATATAGTATAGATAAATTACATATTTACCTGGTCCAAATATAGCAGAACAACCAGATTTGTATAAAAAGTCATAATCTTGAGGGGGAATAACTCCACCGGCTACTACTATAATATCACTGAAATTAAGAGAACCGTTTTCACTTTTATAATTTCAACTATAATGGTGAAGCATATGGTGTTGTATAATATAGTGTTCAATAAGTCATCTGTCTTTATTAGATTTGTCTAATGTGTCCACCGCTTTACTGTGAAAGACTTTCATACAACCTAAACTGTGTATAGAATCTAATTTACAGCCATTGAAGTGTCATTATAGAAATTAGGACTAGCAGACTATACATTTAGGGATGGAAACAGCTCAGCCGTTTCAAAATTTAATCTGCAACCAAATCATAAAATCATCAATGGCATTTAAGCCCGGTGTCAAGCCTAGAAATATCTGATCCAATTACTGTTATTTTCTTAACTTTAAATTAGTAACTCGAAAAGCACTGTTAAAGAAGAAATTACTTACGGACGTCCCATTTTCTGTAATTCTTTTACCAATTCTGGTATTAATGTTTTATGTCCTGCAGCAAGGGAACTAACTCCTACTACATGTACATCAGCATCAACTGCTTGCTGTGCTGCCTCCCTTGGTGTCTGAATATAATAAATGTAATGAAATTGAAATTTATCTTTTTTTAAATAGGCCTATGGGAATTTTTCTGAGGCTTCAATGCACCGGAAAGTTAATTATTTTCCTTTTTTAAATTTAACAAAAAGAAGGCCTTAAAAATGTTTTCAATAATCTAGGCCTAGATGATTAAAATATCAGTGTGGTAGTAGTTTGGCCTTGGTGTTTGTGGATAGAATAATCTAAGAGGAAAAAAGATGGCTGCATCAAAGCAACAGAGAAACTAGTTAGATTACCATAACTCTCATTAGCTTTGATCGTTTTAAATTATTTTTGGTACAAGGCTTTTTGTTAAAGTTGACTGATATGGTTTTCATGTCCAATGTATCTAATACAGTAGTTCCCAACCTTTTGTTGGTTGCGACCCCATTCTAGAAACCAGCATCTGATCACAACCCCTCAAAGAAGAAATTAAACTTCCACTTGGAACATCATCATTATTTACATTTATCATTGTTTTATTTATTTGACAACTTACATTTTTACACCTTTATAAAAACAATTGAGGAGATGACTGGCAATGTGGCAAGAGGTGTATCGATCAGAGATTTATATGCTTTTCATGAAAACATAGCATCTTTTCAAAAGTTTCAGAGTATTCTGCCACAAATACACAAATACCTGACACTTCACTGTGCAAGTCTATACTTTTTAAATTAATTTCTTCTTTGAAAGAGATACTGAGAATTTAACAACTGTTAAACTCTTCTTGATCTTATAGCTGAGCATATCAAGGATGCCTGGACAGTTGTATTTCTTTACCTGCATATATTTACCTGATCAAAAGAAAACAAAATAGGCCACATAATGGAGTCATAAAAATTGAATACCTACAGCAAATAATGGTCCAATATCTACATCAAAACCAACATCAGCGAAACCAGTAGCTATTACTTTACCACCTCTATCATGACCATCTTGTCCAACTTTAGCTACTAAAATTCTTGGTCTTCTTCCTTCATGTTCAATAAATTGCTGGAAAAATAACGTGAAAATACAATATCGAGTTTACAAAAAACATTTCTATATCTGCTTATTTGTTCAGTATTTCTCTGATATAAAATGGTTTCTTGCTAGATAATAAATAGAATCGTGTAGCAGCATTTAGATAATTACATTTTAATCGCCATCAATTATTTTATTGTTTTGAGGGTTGTATAAAACTAATTATCTGCACTGGATACATGTTATTTTGAGATGCGTGTGTGAAAGACCTACTGACTGTCAGTAATGATGGAAACGGAAGTTACAATGAGAAAGAACCTCACAATTTCCTGAACTTCACAATGTGACAGGAGTCGAGTGAGTTTTTCAATATATACAAGTAGTAGTATATACATATAAATATACCTTTATTCTATCCATAACTTTCTGTAATTCATCCTTTTCAGCAAATTCTGTTTTATATGCTCCACTAACTAATCTACCTGTAGCTGTGTGCCTCTGGAAAACCTGGTCAAAAGAACAAACATTATCCAGTCAGTTTAAATTTATTCCTGCAAATGATATACACACTTTGGGTCTCTTGTACTTTAAAAATATATATTAAGAAATAACAAATGACAAAATTTGAATTCCAACTGTCAAGGATTCTTTGAATTATGTGCACTGCATGCGTGCTAAGGTGAATGACTAGGCACTGTCCTTGCCAGGCTCTCCGTCCTGCCAATCTTACAACAGGAATCCATGACGGTTGATCCCGAGGACGTTTCTCGAGCCAACACCGGGATCCAACCCGGGACCTCCAATTTCATCCAATAAATATTTTGATTGGTTCAGTTGCACAAAAAGCCTTATAACATTCTGAAAAATAACTCAGTTAACAGCATTCAAAATGAATTTTGTCGAAAGATCTGCCATAATGTTTTACTATAACGATATATAATTATTACTTACAAGTTCCATAGCATCAGTTATTTCTCCCACAGTACATCTAGCTCTAGCAGCTTCTATACTTAATGCTAATAAATTACCATCATGACTCTTACAACATTCAGTTATAGCAGACAAACATTCTTCAGCCTACAAATATATCAGACAACCAGAAAAAAATGATCATCAGAATGCATGATATCACCAAGACTTGATAGAGCAAGTTGGCGTGTTAGCATTATATAGAAACTTTAAAATCTATATGGAGATTTTCATTGCTACTATGCAGTAATAGTCGGCTGATCCTACCATCAGCAACATTATGAAGCAACAGGGATGGCAATCCTATGGTATACATACCCGAAGTGGCAAACTGCATCTCATGTTAATGATAACCGAAACGTAAAAAAAGTCAAGTGAGACATTCTTCAATTGTCCATAATTAGCCCTTATCTATTGCGGATCAACAAAGTCGTATAACAATTGTGACCTCTAGAGGGACCACACGCTAAAAAAGTGATTTTTCGTTCAATTAGGGTCTATAATCCAGGAAGTCACGGTCCAATATGCATGAATATTGACCGGAACCAAGATCGTTGGGTTACAAACATATATTTTGATTTTCATCAAAATAGGATACAAGCTAAAAACAAGATTTTTCGTACAATTAGGGGCCATTATCCATGAAGTTACGTTCCGATACATGCCAATATCGAAAGGAGCCAAGATCTTTGGGAGATAAACCTATATTTCAAGTTTTGTCAAAATCAGAGAAAAATTGTGACCTGTAGAGTGTCCACAACCAAATTGTGGACAGACGGATAGGGGCAACGACAATAACATACTTTTTTCTGATCCCTTGTTTCTCTGACTTTTTTAATTCTAGCTATTTGTCCTTCTCTAACAGCTGTGTTATCAACGATTAATACATCTATAGGTTCTTCATCTTTTAAACGATGTTTATTTACACCAACAATAACTTCTACAAATAGATGTACAATCAAATTAAAGGAGGTGGTCCACCTATTTCTAAGATGACTGTTACTAAAATTAAGGCCACCTACCTTCTGGCGCCACACTAAATTTAAGATTGCGTGAAGTCAGTACAGAAACAGAATTACTAATTGTCGATTCAAATGGTAAATGGGGGATGCCATATTGAAAGATCATTTAGTATTGATGAAGTCCGCAACACTCATTATCAAAATTAATCAGTCAGCTTTAAACTGGACACAAGTACAAATTAGATAATTTTTGATGATTTTAAACGATTTTTACAAATTTTTAATCAAAGATTTGATATTAAATGAATGAAAGAAATTAGTGCTAGATACACACGATTAAATGATACCTGGCTTACAGTGTTCCTTAAAGTATCAAATTTCTCAAGGCTTAATTCATTTATAACAGGCCCATAAATATGATTTGAAACAAGCCCATCAATTTTGTGGCATGGCAAATAAAGATGTTGGTGTCTTATTATATGTCTTATTATATCATCAGATCTTTGTAGATACTGAACAGAAAAGAAGCATTTTTGGACTGATTCAACTTTAACAAGAGGTTTGCAAGGGATTCTAAAGCACTAAAATCATGTGTCTTAAGATTAGTGTGTGAATGAGGGTACTATGTCTTTTTAAAAATTGTTTCGAGTACCGTTAACTGTCAGGATTATCTATCTGTTGTTAGACTAAAAAACAAGTGGACAATCGTCTTTAATATAAACATAACTTATTAGTGCCGAAGCTGCCTGTGTTTTATTTTTATTGTCGATCAGTCAATATTACACTGGAGTATAACTGAAATGATGCCATTTCTGAATAGTTTACCATACTCAGTACTGGTGAAGGACTTAATGATTTCTGTACCGATTTCATCTGATTGTGGTCAATGATTGGGCATATTCACAAAGCAATGGTATTGAGCATTACCAGCTCCTAACTAGTGTCATATTTAAATAGCAATAATAGCTCAGTGTTTTCATTGGTCTACTAATTATAAGATTGCTTTCATGATTTGAAGCTGGGTTGTTTTAGCGGGTGAGTCCAGTATCAAGTGGGTTATTGGTCAAATATATTTCATACAACTATATTTCTATACCTTGACCACTGTCAATCCTGGCTTGTCGCCTGGCAGCACATTCTTCTATTCTTAATTTAGGCATACCAGATGCCACTGCTTTAGCCATACCACCCATTTCTTCAATCTATGCAAAAATAATCATAATCATGCATACATAAAATAAAGCATGTTCAACTTGACAACACAATTTTTTTGTATTTGTATAATTAATGTGTATGTGTATCCTAGACTTACATTTCTATCTCACACTATTCATTTCAAGCTCATCGTGAATTAAATTTATGTCTAATAAATTAATAGATGTCATAGAACTTTCTCACCATACCTCATTAATAAGAGCAAGAGCTTTTTCATAAATATCATTGGTTAGACTCTCCATCATGTATGAACCTCCCCATGGATCTGCTACCTAGAACAAAGAGTGAGGTACATTATCTCCGTGAAAATACGCAATTGGAGTTAAAGATATTTGGCTCAACATCCGAGCTGATGAAGACAGACATATGCCATGCACTACAGCTTAATCTTATTTCTAATTCCCCGCACACCAATATATACACAGGATGTCGGTTTTTCATCCCATTCGAACTACTAGAAGCTGTTCCTTGCCAGGCCATCCGTCCTGCATTACTGACAAGTGAAACCAAGCTGGAAAAAACACAAGGTACTTTGTCGGCCAGTCAGAGATCGAACCAGTGAACGTTAGGTTTCAGGGCCAGTAGCTTATCCACTTAGCCAGCTCCTAAACATTTTATAAATTTCGTATCTAAAGCCTTTAGATATCAAGGACATCCTATAAAAAATTGAATTCCTTTATCTTTCAACAGGGATGTTAGTAACATTGAACAAAACAGACTAAAATATTAAGTACATTCATAATACTTTTTATTGGTATTTTTATTGGATTTTACTCTATTCAAGATAAGTTTTAGACACATGTGTTAATAAATGTTTAAATTAAATAAACTTTAATCCATTCAATAAAAAAATATTTTCAGTCTTACATTTGCAACTCCTGATTCTTCTTGTAAAACAATCTGTGTATTTCTGGCTATCCTGGCACTAAATTTAGTTGGCAGACCCAAAGCTTCATCAAAAGCATTAGTATGCAGAGATTGAGTGCCACCAAAAACAGCAGCCATAGCTTCTATTGTTGTGCGCATTATATTATTATACGGATCCTGAAATATCAATTAAAGAAGATAATTAATGCCAATAAGATAGCTTCAAGTTAGGTGACAGTCATGTCATTATTCTGTACCCAAGGAAAGTATCAAGATAATTGTAAATATTGTATCAAATGATAAGTCCTGTACACCTAATAATACCAGGTTTATCTTATTTATCCTAAAGAGTTATTCAAGGTTGTATTACTTTGATCTATCAATAATCACAATAGTAGCATATCGGGACATACCTACTACCGTAAGTGAAGTGAATTCATGATGCTACAGAATGCACTTTGATATTTTGCGATTCGAGGAGTAAATTTGTTATTCATTTTTCTTTACCAGCTTCAATTCTGATGAAGATAAATGTCACAGATTATATTGGTCAAACAACCTAAATAAAGAGTACTGGTATTTGAAAATATTCTCATTTTAAGCAACTGACAATTCCATTTAAAAAAGTCTCTACCTGTTCTGTTAAGCTCCAGCCTGAAGTCTGACAATGACATCGTAATAAAAGAGATTTTGATTTCTGAGGTTTAAATTTTTCTTTGATCATTTCTGCCCATAATCTTCGTCCTGCTCTAAGTTTAGCTATCTCCTTCAAAAATTATAAAAGGTGCCATCATTAAAATTACTTTTCTTTTACGTATATAGCAACATTTACTATAATACAACTGATAAAATGATATCATTATTCACCATTTCTAATATAAACAATTGTGAAACACAAACTAACTACTTAAAAGAATTAAGAATTACTTTTAAACTTACCATACAAAAAATTATTTTTAAACTTACCATATAAAAATTCATTCCAATACCCCAGAAAAATGATAGTCGAGGAGCAAATTTATCAATTTCAAGGCCACATTCTAATCCTGAAAAAAAAAAACAATACAGTGCATAAAAAAAACTTCAAAATATTACATATTATTTAAATGTTTCCAAAGCATAAAAACTCTAATGCTTTTCTTGAACCATGAGCCAAAACCAAATCACAAGAATATTCTCAGAGGGAGAAATCTGACTTAAATGTTCTAACTATATATCACATCTAATACTGACTTGTTCTAACTATAATACTGTAAAACATCTAATACTGACCTGTGCTAACTATATACATATAATACAGCATCTAATACTGACTTCTTCTAACTATATCATATATGATATCTGTTCTAATTATAATACAGCATATAATATTGACTTATCTACCGCTGTAATACAGCATCTTATATTGACTTGTTTTAACTACATCACAAATAATATTGACCACTTATTGTACCTATAATACAGCATAATATTGACCACCTGTTCTAACTATAATGTGCCATCTAATACTGAGTTGCTCTAACTATATCACACCTAATAATGACTAGCTGTTCTAATTAAAATACAGCATCAAATATTGACCACCTGTTCTAATCACATCTAACGATATCACATCTAATATTGACCATCTGTTCTAATTATAATGCAGCATCTAAAATATTGACTATACCTGATATTGACCACCTGTTCTAACTATAATATTGACTTGTTCGACTAAATGTACTATCTAATACTGACCTGTTCTAACATACTGTAAACCATCAGCTAAAGTAAAAGCTAACTCTAATACTGCATCTGCTCCAGCTTCTTGCATATGATAACCAGATATAGAGATAGAATTAAACTTGGGCATATTCTGAAAAGAAAACGAAAAAGAAAAGAAATTGAAAAATAGAGAGAGAGAAATGGGGTCATTTCAGGACTAACTATCTTATGGTTCAATTTTATTTCAATAATTCGCTTGCAGGTAGGGGGTCTTTTAGTATTAGGAGAAAACCAGATATTGAAAATAATTAGACTCAAAAAGTTTTTGGGTTTTGTTTATAACTATTCATAAAACCCAATAGCATGAGAATTCGGCATGAAGTTAATTTAAAAGGTCCAAAAGATAGTAAATGTATATTAACTGACCTTGGAAGTGTAGGAAAAGATATCACCAATTATTCTCATAGATGGCTCTGGAGGAAAAATGTATGTGTTGCGAACCATAAATTCTTTTAAAATATCATTCTGAATAGTTCCAGCCATTTCTGATTGCTTGGCACCCTGGAAATACATACCGGGTATATATCAGAGTAGATAAAAATGGCAGCACTGGAGATTCCAAATAGAAAATACATCATTGCTAGCTTATTTGGAAAACTGATAAAGTTGCAGGTGAAGTAAGCCTATGTACAAATCATCTTCCATTTAAAACAATCATTTTACTAGATTACTTTCTATTATTAGAGTTCACAAGATTTACATGCATATAAAACATGAAATTAATGCTTGCATGTTAAGAATGTATAAATGTTATAAATGCTAATAATCTCTGTTTAAAATTATTTCAATTCGTAATATTTTTTTTAACTATGACAGACACAGTGTTCTCTTTCAAGGTAAACAGTTCATTTTGATAACTTTGTGCTCAATCATTTTGTGCTTCATCAGTGTGTATATTTCATTAATTCACTGCTATACCTGTTCCTCAGCAGAGACAATATACATGGCCATTATAGGTAATACTGCACCATTCATAGTCATAGATGTTGATATCTTGTTTAAGGGTATACCATCAAATAAAATCTTTGTATCTTCAACAGAATCAATGGCAACACCAGCCATACCAACATCTCCTACCACACGGGGATTATCAGAATCATATCTACAAATAAACAGAAAAAAACATGAGTTGCCAGCCATGATACCAACATACTCCCCTAAAAACAATAAACTACTTGTGGAAACGAAAGCATAATATGACATGTGAAGCTGAATATGATCAATTGTTTCCATTTTTTTTTTTTTAAAAAAAACTTTCAACTTTAATCTCTGCCAATAGCATAGTTGTGTCAAAGTTGTGTCAATCATGGTTGTGTCAATCATAGTGTGGGTGATAGAGATGGGTTAACCAGAAAAAAAAACATGGGTTGCCAGTCATACCAGCATACTCCCCTAACAAAAATATACTTCTTGTGGAAACAAAAGCATAATATTACATGTGAAGCTGAATATGATCAAATGTCTTCATTCTTTTTTAAAAACCCTTCAAATTTAATCTCTGCCAATAGCATATATATAATAGCTGCGTCAGTCATAGTGTGGGTGATAGAGACTGGTTAACAGGACTGTATACTAACCCTCTGTGTGTTGGTAGATCAAATGCTACACTAAGACCTTGTTGACCAGCTGCTATATTCTCTCTATAAAACTTGTTACTTTCTTCTACTGTACTAAAACCTGCATACTGTATTAACAACATATAAACATCTATAAAGTCATTTTCAAATTATATTATCAGACATTCAATTGCATGTTATTATATATTGCAAATCTAAAAGTGCAGACATAATAGCTAATATAACTTTAATAAATGGAAACTCTCACTAAATCACTATTTCATGATATTAAGTCTACAATCATTTTACATTTTTGCTGGAAGTTATGAAGATTGCTATCCTCCACAGATTATATAAAATATTGGAGTAATCATCCTAATATGAAATCCTGGAATTAAGTTTATAAAAAATTCACTCTGGGGTATACTATTTGTGACCTACATGATATTAAGTCTACAATCATTTTACATTTTTGCTGGAAGTTATGAAGATTGCTATCCTCCACAGATTATATAAAATATTGGAGTAATCATCCTAATATGAAATCCTGGAATTAAGTTTATAAAAAATTCACTCTGGGGTATACTATTTGTGACCTACATGTATCATCTTGTATCTTTTATATTACAGAACAGGTATACGTAATATACAATTTTAAGTACAGGTCGATGTTTTTATAAACAAATGAATTTGATATATTTGCCTCCTATGAAATATTTAATAATATTAATTGAATGAAATCAACTAACATTAAAATATAAACAAACAGAAAATGATAAATACATGTACAGTACATTGATTTGCAAATTCATCAAAAATAATAAAAAAAGAAAAATCATTTTAATAGTATCAAATATTCATATTAAATAATCATATTTGAATAGTAAAATTAGCATTCAATGTTACGCTTCATCTTATATCATAAAATATAATCTATGGTACCTGTCTAATGGTCCAGGGTCTATGTGTATACATAGTAGAATAGGGACCTCGGGTATATGGAAAATGACCAGGTATTTCTTTAGGTATGTCAACAGAATCATCTTTAGTATAAACTGGTTTTATGTCGATGCCCTGAAAATAAGATTTAAAACAAGTGTAAAAACAGTTTATCAGTACACAGCAATTTTCTATCTCTTTTTTTTTCTTAAAATTAATAGTTATTCTGGTATGAAAAAAAAAAAATATATGGAAATTGGGAGATCCTGCTCAACAAAACTTAGTTTCAAAGACAAAATGTAATAGATTTGGCAAAATTTTTTTATATCCTTGTGTTTTTCAAAAAATATTTATAATGCTAGAAATCAAGTTTTGAAAGGACATATTGAAACAGCTTGCCTTACCTCATGTGTTCTCCAAGTCAAAGTAGATTCTACATCTTTGCCTTTAAGCTCTTTTTCAGCACCAGCAGCCCATGCTTTATCTATAGGTATTTTATGAGCACATCTTACACTCTAAAAATAGAATATTAAAATTTTTAAATGTTCTACGCAAGGCTTAATTGTTGACTCTGTAACCACGTCCATCAATTTTCTGCTTTATAAATATGCCAATATTGGTACCATTACTAAAACTAAACATCCTGATGGTTGGGAAAAATACATGTTTATCTGACAAACAAATGACAATACAGAAATACATTAATGAAGAATGGAATTAAAATCAGTAACCCTTAAAGCTACCTTCACATGCACATTCTGAAATGACCCAAATTCCAATCGCATCGATTTTTACATTTAATCATCTTTCAGAAAATGTATTCCAATCCACTAAATATCGCAGGCTAGCAATGACATCATTATCAAAAAGACAAGCACTTAGGCCAAGTTAGGGCCTAGGGCTACATAATTAGACTTACCGTACTAGTAGTAAGGTAGATAACAAACCTCATCACTCAACCCTCCCGTGTTTCGAGATAAGAGATGGTCCTACATAGTTCCACGTAGCAAAGTCGAACGAAATCACATCGGGTCTCAGTAAGCAAAATTGACAATATTTTTCACCAAAACAATGATTGGTTATTGTTATTTATAACATTTCTGCCACACTCAACAACAATTAAGCAGAAAATCCTACCTGACACGGATACAAATCCCTTCTTTTTAAATTGAAGCGATAGTAGATTGCTTTTTCCGACTTTTAAATTTAAAGACGGGGCCTTGTGTGCAATAGCCAATCAAAGTACTAGCCTGATCAGAGTTGCACAGGAGTAATACGCCGTAATTATGAAATGTCCGTATCAATTTTGATAAAAACAACGCTTCATTTACTTTGTCAATATTTGCTGAAAAATGAATGTTGTTTCCGTAGATTGGGCTGCGTATACTATGTGTAATAAGTAGCCTACTAATAGCATAAAATTAACTTATTTTTAAGATTGTACATAATAAAGAAATTTAGTTTGCCACTTGGAACTAAAGGCATCCAATCGTAGCTAAAAACAAGCACATCAGTATATCTAAACATTTTTAGTTACCGGTAGGCCTATGTTCTCGTAGAGAGTAGGCCTAGTAATTTAAGTGGTTCGATTTCACCAGCATTTGTTAAAACTCCTAGCAAACTCTTATAAAATGAAATGAAATATGGGGTTTAACGTCCTACTGTTTTGCTCCGAACTGGGTTAATAAAGACGGGCATAAGCCATACAGTGTGCTATGAGGGGAATTTTGCCCGGACAGCAGCACTACGGCCTACTTTTATATCGAATTCCAAATGTCAAGGGATCTTTTACGTGTACGCCAATGTGTACACGGACCCTAGGTTTTTCATCTCATCAGAATAACTAGACAGCTGTCCTTGCCAGGCCCTCCGTCCTGCATCACTGACAACGGGGAACCACGCCGGAAAGTCTGGGTGAACTTTCTCGGCCAATGCAGGGATCGAACACTCTTATGAAATTTTTAAATTTTGAATGTGGTACCAATGAATAATTAATGATGAAACTGTACAACATCATCATCCCACGAAGACAAATCAATATAAGCCCGGATTGCTAATAATGCACCTTTTTATTTTGTTACTCATTGACAATGTTAGTGACTGAGGCCCTGGGGCCTTTTCTAAATTTTGTGAAGGGCATCGATAATTTGTGGAACCGAATAGCCATAGCACAGAGACTTCAGCAATATTCGCAATATAAAAACTAGCACAATGCATTTTTCGTTTCAGATAATTTACCTGTGTTAGGTGACGTGAGCTAAGAGAGCTGTAAAAGACCGGGCCACGAAACATTTTATTTCAGAAGTCAACACATCGCAAAATATATCAACAATGAACAAATGCTAAGGTGAAGGTCGCTCGAAGAGCCTGTTCATGATTCTGACGCTAACTTTATATTGTTCATTTGCACGTATATTCATCTCCAAAGCTTCCTGTCGTTGTTTTATAAGAATTTATTATTTGATTAACTTCTCTTTTTTTCTTTGTTCCTGTTTTGTTGCGGATGAAAAATGCCAAATTAATGAACAAGTTTACATAAAATGGATTAGCCTCCCCTTGACCTAGTTCAGCTCTGAACGTAGGTCTCATAGTCATTACACTCGCCCTGTCTCATAACATTTACAGGACGAGTGTAATGAGACCTACGTTCAGAGCTGAACTACCCTTGGCCATGCCGTGTTCTGTGATATTGTTTAGAATAGATAATAACAAACCTAATTAATTTATCTATATTCAGAACACTTTTCTATTAGATTTGGTTTGGCTCGCGCCAACCTCAACTGTATTCAGGGAACGCCTAAACAACTCATCAACATTTATGGGTCGCTCCAATATGCAGACTCGATTTGATATGCACGTGCGTCGTGCATAGGCCTATAAGAGACTGGCGTTTAAAAATATAGCCTAGACTAGAGGTCGCAGACGTCATCCTCGGAAGACGGTGTTAATAGGGGCCTACGTAGTAGGCAGCATAGCAAACAACCGGCGTGAATTCCCGAAAGACTCAATGATAATAGAATAAGTGTAAGTCGACTTATCAACTTAAACATTCAGGAATCAAGAGAGAGAGAGAGAGAGAGAGTGTTTATATAACGTCCACTCGACACAAGCTAGGTCATTTCGGGACTAACACATGGTTCGTCCTTATTTCAACAATTCGCTTGCCCGTCGGGTGCGTCTTAAGCCTTAGCGGTACCAGTTAAAGGCCTAAACCGGAGAAAACCCACTAGCTATACTCATAATTGTCACGTTGGCCTATAGCGGGGAATCGAAACTATGCCACTTGACTCAATAACAGACCTTCTGATTTAACGCGCACGCGTTAACCATTCGGCTACCCACCCCAGATGATTTCAATGTATTTACTACATTCCATCTTTTCCTTAAGTAAGGGATTTTTATCGGCTTTGGCCTCTCCAAAGCAGATAGAATCCGTTACTAAAGTAACTACGACACTGGGTCAATTCAAGTCCTGGGTTAAGGTGGTGTAGTGTTTAACACCAGTTAGATCAGTGTAGCACCGGTGTAAGTTGTAACGCTGTGCTAACTGAACCTCAGACCCCCTCTGTATTTGAAATCAATCCGAGTTAAGGTCTTTGGTGTTGAGGTTGTGTTAAACAAGGATATATTTACACAACATGAACACCAGTGTCATATATGTGTTACCCAAACACTAACTTATACCTGAGCCCCTCAATTTGTCTATATTTTCAATATCAATTTCTCGATTTCAGAAAAAAAAATTACATGCAAAAAATATAAATACAGGGATCTTTGTGCAATATTATTTCTAATTACATAAAAACTTGTTAGATAATAATAACTTGATAAAAGTTATTATCTTGTTAAAAATGACCCTAACACTAACCCTTAGGGGTTAAAAAAAAATCTCAGAAAGTGTGGTACGACTAACTCTTCATAAAGTTTATCAACATGTACATCAAGCACTCAATCTCCGCGTGCAACCTTTGACGTCACACGTGCATATATTCCTAATCGTCGGGCTGTCGATTTGGGGAACCCTGACATTTTTGTCCTGTATACGCTCCATGAGTGTTTTTCATAGGATATCTCTACTTTACTATACCAAAATTGCCATACTTTTATTGGAAATAACCACCCGATAAATACTTTTCTGGGAACCTAACTTTAAAATATATGTTTATGTCCTAACGTTCTCAGTCCCTGTCGATATTTGTGCATTTCAGACCATAACTTTCTGGATTATGACCCCTGATTGAACGAAAAGTGGCTTTTAATTTTAGCTTGTTCTCAATCCATCTCGTGCAAAAGGTGGGCGTATCTTTCCTGGCAACCGCTGTTTTTTTAGTTGGCCAGCTCATGCAAATTACAGAAGACAAAAGCACAGTGTAACATTTAAAGATAACACAAGTGTTATAGGTGTTTTTTTTATTTTCCACCGGTGTTACCCTAGTTTAGACACTGGTGTAAACACTAGTGCTAAATCGAGGGGCTCAGGTTAAGAACACCAGTTATACACCACTACAACACAACCTTAACACAAGTGTAATCCGGGACTTGAATTGACCCACTGGGTCAGTTCAAGTCCCGGGTTACACTTGTGTTGTAGTAGTGTATAACCAGTGTTCTTTTTAGTGCCTTAAACTGGGCCTCTCGATTTAGCACTAGTGTTTACACCGATGTCTAAACTAGTTTAATATCAGTGTTAACACTGGTGGAAAATAAAATAACACCTATAAAACTAGTGTTATTTTTAAATGTTACACTTTGTTTTTGTCTTTGTAATAACGCTTTCAATTCTTTGCATGAGCTGGCCAACTGAAATAAAAACACCAAAAAGAAAGATAATTGTGGGAAACTAACCGCTTTGAACTGAGATTTTTTTTAACCCCTATATTTAACAAACTAATAACTTTTATCGAGTTATTATTATCTAATAAGTTTTTATGTAATTAGAAATACTATTGCACAAAGCTCCCTGTCTTTATATTTTTTTCATGTAAATATTTGTTTCTTAAATCGGGAAATTAATATTGAAACAAGCCAACAGTAAGGCTGATGTCCCCCGCCGAAATCCCAAAATAAATAGATGACACATATTAATTAATCACACATTTATTTTTTTTCAAAAGTATCGAGCAATCAAACTATACACTAAGTTTCATCACTCTCTATCAGATAGAATCAAGATTATCTTGTCCCAAAGCATCGACCAATGAAATTGATTAGCTCTGCTTAGCTTTAGCTCGAAATGTTTTAACCATTGAACACAGTCAAGGCATTCACCTAATGAACATCTACATCAAGTTTAAACATTCTACCTCAATTAAAAGCAGAGTTGTTATGTTCCAAAATTTTGACCAATCAATTAAATTGCTTAACGCTCCTTAGCCTAAGCAGAAAATTCCCACCAGGTAATGATAATTCTGAGTTTCACCGCTCTCACTTTATTATAACCAAAGTTATCGTGCCCCAAAGCATCGACCAATCAGATTGCTTATCTCTGCTTACCGTAAGCAGACAATGTTCATCACCGAACTCCATCAAGGCATTCACCTAATGAACGCCTACACCACGTTTGAACAATTCTACCTCAATTAGAAGAAGTGTTATCGTGATCCAAAGTCTCGACCAATCAAATTGCTTATCGCTCTGCTTACCCCCAGCAGAAAACTTAGTCAAGGTATTGATGTAATAAAGCTATACACCAAGTGTCCTCACTCTCACTTAATTAGAACTAAAGTTATCGTGTCCCAAATCATCAACTAATCAAATTGCTTATCTCTGCTTACACTAAGCAGCCAATTTTCATCTTCGAACTCCATCAAGGCATTCACCTAATAGACACCTACGCCACGTGTGAACATTCTTACTCAATTAGAATAAGAATTATTGTGTTCCAAAGTCTCGACCAATCAAATTGCTTGTCGCTCTGCTTACCCTAAGCAGAACATGTTCATTATCAAACTTAGTCAAGGTATTGATGTAATGAAATTATACACTAAGTTTCATCACTCTCACTTAATTAGAACTAAAGTTATCGTGTCCCAAAGCATCAACCAATCAAATTGCTTACCCAAGGCAGAAAATGCTCATCTTCGAACTCCATCAAGGCATTGACCCAATAAACACCTACACCAAGTTTGAACATTCTAGCTCAATTAGAATGAGAGTCATTGTGTTCCAAAAACTCGTCCAATCAAATTGCTTATCGCTCTGCTTACCCTGAGCAGAAAATGCTCATTATCGAACTTAGTCAAGGCATTGATGTAATGAAACTGTAGCCTACACCAAGTTTCATCACTCGCACTTAATTAGAACTAAAGTTATCATGTCCCAAAGCATCAACCAATCAAATTGCTTATCTCTGCTTACCCTAAGCAGAAAATGTTCATCTTCGAACTCCATCAAGGTATTGACCTAATACTAATAAACGCCTACACAAAGTTTGAACATTCTAGCTCAATTAGAAAGAGAGTTATTGTGTCCCAAAAAGTGTGACGGGCGGACGGACAGACAGACAGACGGGTGAACCCATTTTAATAGTCCCCTGCTTTCTTCGAAAGGCGGGGGACAAATATAGACAAACTGGGGGGGGGGGGGGAGCCGGTATAAGTTAGTGTTTGGGTAACACAGATACGACACTAGTGTTCACGTTGTGTAAGTATATCCATATCTAACACAACCTCAACACCACAGACCTTAACTCGGAATAATTTCAAATACAGAGCGGGTCCGAGGTTGAGTTATCACAGCGTTTACACCAGTGTCACACTGATCTAACTGATGTTAGACACTACACCACCTTAACCCAGGACTTGAATTGACCCATTGTGACCATCTACAAACTCGAATGTTACAAACCTCAAGATTTCTCAAATACAACGTTTGAAAACTCTAACCTTAAATTTGTTGGCTACCAATATATTTATTTTTTTACGCAGCGCAGAATACCGGTACCGAGTCAATCTGTTTCACAGAGGTATTGCGAAGGCCTTCTTACAATTCTGTGTAAGGTATGACTGACATTTATAAAGTTCATATGCATTCTACGTGTGACGTCACATGGCGTTCATCATGGGCTCGATAGCTCGTACAATGTTTACATGACGGAAATTAGTGCTGGCAGAACGGTGCCTTACTTCAAACATAATTATCACGAAAATAATTGTTACCTTTATATTAGAAAATAACATTTTAAGACATATTAATGCAAAGTATATAATAATATGTAATAGACCCCCCCCCCCCTCCCCCCAAAGAAATTTGCTGAAATAAAGATCTTGGAGCCACCAAAGCTAGTTTAGAAGTTATTGTGTGTGTACGCAGTGAGCCTACCCTAACTCGATTCCCCACATATACATTACCTTTATATTAGAAAAT